AAAAGTAACTTTACCATTAAAAAAAAAAAGTTTTTTTTCGATTTTTCATGATATATAAGCCTTTTTGAGCCATAAATGGGTTATTACTTTGAATCCGAGCTTTTTAACTTGTCTGTGAGACGGTTTTGTTGGTACTGGAATGTTTTATTGATGTTGTGGGCATCCATCACCGGATCTAACCGGCGAAATATATCTGATCATGAAAGAATAAATACGTGTACATGAATGCATAATCTAGAGTTCCTAACAATCTCAATTGTAATTGTTACAACTTCTTCGTGAGTTTGAATGTTGAAAATGTCCAACACCTCATCGCTTGGGCATGAAAGCTGAATTTGAAGCTGCTCCGCATGTCGAAGTCAAAAAAACAATTAATGTGTCGCGAAGAGATTTTCAACAATTTGAACATATTGAGTGTACACAACAAGATGTTTTTTCTTTTCTTTTCATGATAAACCAATTACGCTTTAGCGACAAAGTTCAAATTCAGCCAGACTTACTGGCCCCTACATTGTTCACTAGTGCTAGATTTGAAAGTTTATTATGTGCTAGCCGTATGTAAGAATTCATCGACGCATAAAAGTGCTTTTTATGGTGTACGCTAGCCATGTTACTATTCGTTGGTACCACAGTACAAGGTTAAAGTAACTAGTTTTGTTGATGATACCTGAAGATATTCTAGTACTCACCACATTATATCATCAAGAGGTAACACAGCTATAAACGTACCAGCGATAAATGCTCGGTTAAGTAGAATGTATAAGGAGAGCTGGTTAATGATCCACACTCTGATAGAGATTCTTCGTATGATTATATACTGCAAGGATGTTAATAGAGGGGGAAAAATACTAACAAATAATGATCATCTGTTGTACTTAAGGACGTCTATGATCATATTTCTCTTAGATGTTCAGAATTGGACCTCGTATTGATATTGCAAAATGAGAACTAGAGGTATATTAGAAAAAGTGCGGCGGCGCTAGCTGAAGCTATCTACATCAACTGCCCTTGTACAAAACAAATATACAAATCATAGGTTCATGTAAACACTTTTGAAGCTGAAAGTGCCTAATTAAAGTGGTGTTCCCCCTCGAGGTAGCACTTGTTCTTTTAATTCGTTGCGTCAACTGACTTAGCCCATTTGAATTGCAGTCCCTCACTATTAATTGACCGAACTAATAGATTTTAGAACAATCAGATTAGTTGTAGAAGTACTTACAGGTAAAGGACCGATATACCAAAAATGTTTTAAGATGAGATGTTGATGTCACGATCTGTGATTAAGTTTAGTTTCACGAATCAAGGTTTATCCCCTTGCGGAAACTGCATTGAAATTAGGTTTCATATAATCATCGTCATATAAAGTGTACAACAAAGGATAAGCCAAAATGTCTATGATCTCATCAAATTCAATAGGCACTATACTTGACATAATCTGTGGGTAATCATAGCTCATAAAATCATAGCTCATAAATTTCACTATGAAACCTAGCTTTTAGTGAAGAAGCCCATTTCGAACAGTCATCATTCAAACTTTTAGTTCCACAGCTAATTACCCAATTATTAGCTTTATCAAATTGATTAACACAACCAGCATAAATGTTTAAATTTGGTCTACCAAATTTGATAGTTTTCAACGAAGTATTTGTAACTTCATTAATATCATCAAATGGGTCAATATCCTCCAATTCAAATTCATCATCTTGTAAAGATTCCAGTAATTGTTCATCTTCAGCACCATAATCATCATCAGTTTTTTGAGTCTCTGATGTAATATAAATATCAATTTTTCTAACATTGAAATGATCTAAAATCCACAAATCTGATTTGTTCTTCAATACCCAAATCATTGTGACATTTGTTGAATTATTTGAAATCAAATTTTGGTATAAACCTAAAGTGTATGAAATCCCAGAACCACCTGCTATCAATAAAACGTTTTCTGCAGTTTTGAAAAAATTTGAATGCAAAGAAGGGTATGGATTTGAAATTGCATAATTAATATTAGGACTTAATGTTAATGAAGTCTTTTTAACAACCAATTTAATGGAAGATTCATTTGGTAATGAAGAAATTGTAAATGGATGAGTAACTAATAAATAAGTAAGAATATTCTGTTTGGAATAATTTGAAAGTCTTATATGTGAAGCTGGTAAGAATGAGCCAAAATCATTAGGAAATTTAATCACTTGTAAGGAAGAACCTGGTGAAGTTTTAATTTTAAGCCTTGAGTTTTTAGATTTCCTTATTTTGGTGATAATCTGAGCAATAAATAATACAACAATGATGAAACTGTATAGAGTTACACCTGGTCTTGCATGGAATTGTAAAACAAAAGGTGATATCCAAGCAAGTATCAAATGAGTTGTGAAAAAAACCTTGTAAAACCTATGCCTTATTGGTTTCAATGAAATTGTCACAATTGTTAAAAATCCCAATATTTGAACAACACCAAGGAAATTTAACGATGTAAATATTTTGAAAAGTGTATGCTCTTTACTCCATTTTATAATAAATAACAAACCATGACTAAAAGACATCAACACAATCAATCTTGAAATCCATTTATGAAGGAATACTAATTCTAGATAATAAATATTTGGCAATGGGTTTGGTTTAAATGCCAAAAATATATCTAGCGGCAATAATATATAGGCAAATCTTCCCAATCTCTTGATGAAAACACTAAACTCTGCTGGTTTAAATTTATAAAAGCATAATCCCAGTATCACCACCACCCATAGAATGAACTTAATATAGTTTGGAGTAGAAACCAATCTTTTAAAAGTTGTTGAACGACCAGATTTTGACCATTTTGTTAAATAAACCTTGTGGAATAGATAGATCCCGAAAACATTACACAATGTTAAAAAGAAAAGGAAATGACCGATTTTCACATTAGCGAAATGTGAACTTCCATGCCTCTTCATCAACTCTATCAATTCTGACATCCCTTCACCTTCTTGCCTCAGTTAAAAATCAATTTGAACAGGCTGTTTGCAATTTTTATTGTTTTGATCTCTTGATTTTTTTTTGACCTGTGCGTGCAATTACCACTTTCTGACAGAGCATATAATTTTGAAGGTGGTTGGCTGAAATTTTTCATGAAGCTGGAGTACAAAATACAAACAACTTTCAAGCCTATATTGTTGATTAGAGATTGTTTCAATTATGTGGGAATGAGATTTAAAAGAATTTTACTAGCAGACTCAAGGATTATCCAACAGCACTGGCCATTCTAAAATCCGGTTCAGTTTTTGTGTCAAATTGATTCAAGTCATGCTACACATCGTCAACCTAAGTGGTCTATGAGTTAACTCTGTTGATCTGTATATTTACAGATATATTTGAAGAGAACAGGCCATTGTCTGAACTGTACTTAATATTTTAGCTGTAATATTAATGTTGCTGCAATATATCAAGTACAGTCGAATGAAGTGACCTATCTAGTAGCTCACAGTCAATCAGATAGACATTAATGGTTCAAAAGACGATATCTGCAAAATGAATATAAATTGTAATATGATTTCATGAAGAGCCTGGTGTGGTTATAATAGCTAATCAATGATTTGTTTCAACTGCTAGCAATGATCTTGTCCCATTCTAAATCGATTTCATTGAATGGTTCTAATTGAACATATACCGATAGCTAATAGAGTTTAGAAGTATCTGGGAATTAAACACACATCTCTACATTGACAAATTGAGTCGATCTTGACACAAACAACTTCGCTTGGCATTTATCAATACTTTAAACTCAATTCATAATAGGTTACACAGAAGTTATAACAGTCACGATATTTTACAGCAATTGTCCACGTTCTCAAAAATGTGTAGCACATCAGTACCAACTAGGTCAAGTTGGTACCTGATTTGAATCACAAGCAAGATCGCAAGTTGCAACTAGTATTGACGCTGGAAGGATGTGGTCATAAAATAGCTTCATTATCAGTGGAATTGAACTAATTCTATCTGAATATAGCTGAACAGCTGGACTGACGTTAAACGTTGAACTTCATGATGACGTCGATTGAATTAGATCTAATTTAATAACAGATCTTTTCACCATGGTAGCTGAATACTGTACAGCAAGTTGTGACTCTGGAATAATTATATTTAAATCTTGCACCGGATTTATTTAAAGTACTCTGGATCAGTACAGGTTATAATTGATCTCACCTTTTAAGCGTACTATGATCTGTTAATCATCAAAGCCTGATACTTCATTTTATGATGGTATACATATTTGAAATAGTATTAACTAACACTTTTGTACATTTCCGCGTAAGTCTTCAAAGAATTGGCATTACATGATTGCAACAATTAGGCGAGAGATCAATTACAACACAGATGTATTGTTCAACGTACCTTAAAAGTCTAGAAGTGGTCCTATACAAGTAGCATGAGCAATAAGCGTAGTTGTTTTGAAGGGCAAACCTTCTTGATGCTTGAGCCTTGCGCCTTGGTTATTTTATTAATGAAGTTCCCATAGTTAACGTTAAAAGATCATAGATACGGTAGTTAGTTACACGAGTTTCCTTTTAAAGCCGACCTTAAATAAATAAGTGAGATACATAATTCACGACTCTCTGGAAAGTTGTTCAAATAGCCTGAAGCTACCTCGACCTTGAAAATTTGACCCATTTTACCTCATGTAGCTTGAATTTCAAGCCATTGTTATCTACTAAATGGTTGTGTATAGTAGTATGGCAAGTATCAAGTTGAGCTGGTGTTCCATTAAAATCATTTCGTAATTAATTTCAGGTACTTACAACATGAAAGGATTTCAGCTTCAACGCAGCGGCTCAAGTTGTTGATGAAGAGCCAAAATTGCCTTCCCCTTAAAATTGACGTGGACATTTGGTCGTCACCCATCTTGCATGAAGAGTGTAGCTGGGATACACAGTATCTCCATAGTTAAGATGTCCTTTTGTCTCGGGTTGGGGCGATGCATGTCTGCATCTGTCCAACGGTAGGACAACGATTGTTCTCTACAGTAGGGACAAAATTCTCGATCGTGTACAAACTGGGATTCTTTCTTTGACTGGGTTGTGTCAAATACAAAAAAGAGATTTGGCACTAAATTTATTATTTCTATTCAATGATTTAATTGAGCATCGGTAATTAGTACACTAGAACAAACCCCATGGTTAACATGTCGACTGTATGATTCAAACTATACAAATGAAAATCGATTGCAGAATGAACACTGCCATAAATTTCGGGATTCTCAATATCACCAATCACCAACTGCAAATCCCATAAATTGGCCGCACTTTGTGCATCTTGTCGGGCTACATAGAGACAATAAAACTCGTGCATGATAGAAATTTCTGAAAAATTCCATCAGATTCGATAAACCATAACATCACCATCAATACTTAAACCGTTATACACTTTGATGAATTACCCGTTAGAGAACTTCAAGATTCATGTCTATATGATTACAAGACTTCCAGCTGGCTTCAATGCTAAAGAGGTATATTTGGCGACTAGATGATGTGGAAAACATGTGCACTAGTGAACTTTACAACCTGTGATCGTTAATTCTGAACAATATATATCCGATCTTGATTAATATATTATAGATCTAGTGTTATCGGTTATCGTTGATACTGAATTCATTGGAATGTCATGTACATCCTATTTATAAAACGTTAAAAAAGGTGTAGCAGCAGCTAGCTGTTAATGATTCAATTTAGCCGGTTATTTCATGTTGATCATAAAGTGCAGTATGTATAACAGGCGTCGGGGAGTTCACCATGGTAATATATCTCGACACACAAAATTTCCATCAATATAATTAATAATATAATTAGTTCATTAACGCTGAACCAGCCGCTAGGTGATTATCGACTGTATACTTTATATATACATTATATTTTAAAATATATGTATAGAGTATGGCTATTCTAGACGTTCAGAATGGATGTTCAGGTACAATATATTTGAGTAGGAGAATCAGATACATCAGCAAACATAATCAATTTAGTCAAATATCATATAAGCCATGAGTAGACATAATATACCCCCACAGATACTTATCTATTCATATATATAACAAGTCCCGCTCGTAGAACTCGCGGAACTTGATTAAATTTTAATTGAATATTGTTGTTCATGGATTGTTAGCACTCGAAATTGATTAATATTAGTATTTGATTCATGAATTAACTGAAGACTAATGTATATTCCATTCTTAAATTATTGTATGTATATTTAACGACGTTTGAATTATGAATATCATGATATTTAGATTAGATTCGAAAATTAAAAGAGAATTATATAATATGTATTAAGGTATTGCTACAATAATATCAATGAATGAATTATTTTAATGATGGTACGAGCATATAATATTAGATCAATGAAATATTGGATTAATAACATCATGAATGTAGTTAAGTTAGTATTATTGAACCTTCAATTATATCATATTCAAAAACATCCTTTAGTTTATTCTTTAAATTGATTCACACTTTTATATTCCTGACTATTTTAGATCCAACGCTTTCTGATTTCAATGTCTCTCATAGGTTTAGTTATTCTATCTAATTCTTAATCCGTCATCTGATTCATCCTCTGATCAGTCGATTGAATAATGAAATATTGTAAGATACTAACTTATCTTAATTGATCGATTCTAATACGCTTTATCTATAATCTCCTTCTTTGTTTCATATCAGTTGATTTATCCTCTGATAAATAACTCATAAAATTACCAAAGATTCTGACTTACCACCATCATATTAGTTGATTTTCTCTGATTAAACGTTTATCATACCATCTTGAAGTTACTCTGTGTCATTGATTAACCGTCTGATTCACTCCCAGATTTAATTCATTTAGTCTCTAATATCTCCATTAGCATAAACATTATTTTGAATACCAACATTAGCAGGATGATTAATGTCACCGTCATTATCATCACCTTTATCTTCACCTTCATCTTCATCCTCATTTTCACCTTCACTTTCAGATTCACTGATACTGTCATCTTCTTCAATATTATCATTGCATTCATACTCACCTTATGTAATTGGTTAAAAACAAATCAAAAAAGCTTGCAAAGGTATTGAATTGCCATCAAAGGTACTTTGTAGCATATCAATTGATTCATCATCTGACACATTCTTTAAGTTAGTTGAAAATCAATCATGAAGTTTCTTTAAAATATTTTAACTTACCATAACCGATTTATTCTCATTCATAGTTGACTCCATCAGATTCAGCTTATTAAATATTCTCACGAAATGGATCTTCTGATTCATCCCCCATTTGATTCATCCTCTGATTCATCCTAATTCACTTTCACCTTGACCTTCATCATAACAATTGAAACATCATCTGATTTCTCCTTTAGTTTATCAAAATATTTTTACTTACCATAACTGCTTTATTGACTCCATCAGATTCAGCTCATCAAATATTTTAACCAAATGGATCTCTCAATTCATTCCCAGATTTAATTCATCAATTGGTTTATTCATCTTAACATCAACTTCATTTTCATTTTATATTCATTTCATATACTTGACTTATCAAACCATAAAATTTCCAAACATTACGTTGTAAACTAATGTTTATCTTTTAATTCATCCTCTGAATCTTCCTTTCAGTTAGTTGATTCATCCTAATCAAATCATGAAGCATTCAAAGAATATTGACTTACCTCAGCTGTACTAATTGAGTTATTCTGATTCACCCCAGACTTCATTTATCATTAAACTCAAGTTATCATTTAATTCATTTTCTAATTCATTTTCTAATTCATTCCTTGATTTGATTTATCATTCTCTCCTTTTGATTTTTAATCATCATATATTGGTTAGAAAACAATTCATTAAATTTTTAAAAATTGACTTACCTTCATTTTACTAACATCAAGTTCATATTCACTTCATATACTTGATTTATTCTCTGATTCATTCTCTAACTCATCCTTTCAGTTAGTTAGATACCAAATCCCAAAATATTCAACAGATTTTGACTTACCTCTGCTATATTAACGGATTTATTCTGATTCATATCAACTCTGATTCATCCCCAGATTTAATTTCTGATTCATCTTCTGATTCAATTTATTTATTCACTCCTTTTGATTTTCAGTCATAATATATTGGTTAGTAAACAATTCATAGAATTTCAAAAAGAAGATGCCAACTTACTTTTATTATATTAACTGGTTTTATTCTGATTCACTTCAATCTTCATATATTAGGTTAGAAAACAGATCATGAATTTTTTGAAACACACATTGCAAACTTACCATTAATGAATTTGTATGCTAATTCTGACACATGATATCAATTTAAAAAGTTAGATAGGGATTCACAATATTTCAAAAAGTACTGACTTACCAATATTGTATCAATAAGTTTCATGAACTTTCAATTATTGAATTGAATGCATCTGTCATAACAAAACAATTCATCACAGAAAACAATTTGACGATTCCTATTGCTTTCTTCCAATTATATAATCTTCATTTCATGATTGCTGGATTGCTTTAAACTTTAAACATTAATGTTGATTTCCTTATTGATACCTTTTATCGTTTCAGTAAAGGTATAAAGTTTAATCAATTGGTAAATGTCAAAGATGGTCATGTGACCAGTTTGTTAGTGGCACGTGATCACCATGCTTTTTCCGTGCCTCTACTGATAATTTTGTATGGCGCACGTGACCAATTATTGCTTAAAAGCGTAAAATATCTTTTTTCATTATTCTTTATAAATATAGTCTGTACCAGTGTACTATCTTCTTTTAGGAGGATATTAGATATCGAGATTGATCATTTTATGACGTTTGGCATGAGACGAGAACAGATATTACAGTTCTACGTACTTGTTCAAAATTTATGTAACGGATTAGATATAGTTGGTGGCGCTGCTTATAATAAACTTTTCAAAATACACTGAAAGCCATGCGTTGACTCTACTCCATTGCTGCAATGATTTCAATATTGTTACCCTTCATCAATCAATATGAGTTTTGCTAGCCCGAATCATTGCCAAGGTCAAAGTAATATCCACATCCTTATCTCGACTAGTACATCATTCGTGAGCTCTCTTTGTCAATGTGATCACCTAGTACTATAATTCTAGAGGTTGTCAATAGATGTTGTTTTGAGCACTAGTTTTCAACCAACTCGAGGCACTGAGCTGTATATAGCTCCAACGTACCGGCTTAAATAAACTTGTGTACATGATGATCCAATCATACTCAATCTTATAACTTCAGTGGATGTGTCATATTCTTGATTCAAATTCTGCTTTCGATTTGTCGAAAATCAAGAAAGCTTTACGTCACCACTAAAATAGACTCCACATTAATAAAGAGCATCACCGATAACCTGCGAATAAATCACAAAGAGCCGCCTTTTTTTAAAGAACTTTAAACCTATAGCTTTGACCATGAAGGTCATTAAGCTTAAACATTACTGACTCTTGAGAGATTTGAGATGTGTTTCTAAAAGATGGCTACCTATATCTACAATATTGTTTTGAATGTGGTCTGTGCATCGTATTTTGCACAAGAGAATCATGCATCTCTGGGATATAACCAGGTATTTAATCACCGGCCACCGGGCTAGAAAAAGCTGTTCTATAAAAAGTCCTACAGGCTACAGCCTACAGGATACGGACATGAAGGAAACTTCCAACTTGTACACAAGAACTGCTCAAATTTTCTAAATTTATCCACAGTGTAGAATAGAGGTGAGCACAAACAGGACTACATTATAGGCTGTACATAATTGTAGTGTAATACAAAATTCAAACAATAAATCAACAAATCAACATTTGATTGGAAAGTTTCAAGAATTGAGACAAATCTGCAACCTCATCGTGACTCGTACCTCTTTGGTGTAAAAGTTTGACCCATCGGGGTCAAAAAAAGTCAGCTTTTGAAAAAAAAAAGAAAAGATTAGTCCCTTTTGGTATCTCATTTGACAGGCACTTGGGCCATAGCTACAAATCGTAGGCTGGACCTGCTCACACTTTTAGACAGGATATCAAGTTTCTCCCTTTCCAAGGGAAAATCTTCCTGCCTAACCATGGGCAGAAAAGGATCAAGCTTCAACTGGGCTGCAAAGTGATGAATCTGGATCTAGTGATGGTCTTTTTTCCTTCAATAATGGTTCGATTTAATTCAAAGACTACAATGTAGTCTAAGAAGTGTACATTCATATACGATTCGCCAACCTATTTGATCAAGCAGAATGTATTGTTTTCCATACTCTCAGTTTTGATTTGATTGTTTGGAAGTTTGAGCGGGCGTTTTTGAACACTACTTAATAATCACGAAAAAGTTCCACAGAATTCTCTACTTGAATTACATCTATTACCACACAGAATTCAGATGCAATACACTCATACAACAATCAGGATGTTAGATGTTACAGATTGATTTCTTGAATTCGACCGCCTAACGTTTTTAAAAGTTCAGTGTTCAAAATTAGCATCAATTGATGTTTTGCACTTTAAAATTATCGGACTTTCTTGGTGGTTTTAGACCTTTGTGTATACATCATCAAGTTTGACCCATGTATCGAAAGAACTTATGTACTACCCAACGGTTAACAGGTATGCAGTTTTGTAATCCTGAACTATGCTACTTCAAATTCCATATTAAATGATGAAGAGCTGAAGCATCAAGCCACGGGATCCCGTTAACCAATTTAATAGGCAGGTTGAAACCAATCTTCGCTCTTTCCTTAACAGATGGGAAACAATTTGTTGGACGTCTATAGGAATATCAGGGTTTACAAGTTTACTTCGCGTACGTGTAGAAAAGTGTTTCAACGTTGTAAAATAAATGTGCTTCAAAAATTTATATATCAAATCAGTTTCAAGTACATGTCTTTGACCCATCATGAAAAATCTGATCCTTGGTTTCACCTTAGAGCTGGTTGAATGAAACCTGAGTTTTCAATTAATCCGTGGTGACGTTAAAGAAGATTGATTCATCTTGTATTAACTTGTGAAATTCAATTCACCGCCATAGGTTTTCTCGACTAGGTAGTGATGGTGATGGTGATGAATATTTTAAGATGGTGTCTGGGGAGACAAATCTTGTTTCCCATGGATATGCACGTCTTGTGAACTCATCGGGACAGCATGCAGCCTTTATAGTATATGTCCAACAATTTTGTCTGGGATTACGTGGCACTGCAGGGCTTTGGGCCTTGTCTCGACCCAGCTCATTTCTCGTGCGTCTTTTCGATTATGTCACTTGATGCAGCCTATTCTAATGCAAGACCTATTGTGTGCGCCTACGAGATTCTCTAAACTTTTTGTAATGCTGAAAAACCTTTTTTTACCCCTACCAATTTGAAGCTTTCCCTCATCTCATTTTCATATAAAAGAGTTATGAACTGCATCGAAAACCTCATCTCTTGAATTGGTGTTGTTATAATTTTCATATAATCAAAAGCATTGACATCAATACCAAAGGAAAACTAATTGTACAAAGACGTCAAAAGCTTTACAATCAACCATCAAACTCAATCTACTGCTTTTAATTGGCTATATTAGTTATAACATATCAAAACATATTTATAAATCGTTTTAGTTATTTAACACTCATCACCAATTGAACAATGTCCCAAACATCATCATACACAAGTGACAATGCTAGATATGAAGCTTACCAATTCTCAGACCCTTTTGCTACTGCCTCTTTTGTGTGTTGTAACAAGAAGTTGAACAAGGTGTGTCGTCCAAACTGTGACCATTATCCGAAAGTTACCTCAAAGGAAGATGTGTCATTTTTATTTGATGCCAACCAAGCTGCTTCAATTGGATTCGAACCTTGTGAACACTGTGATCCTTGCAATCCAAACTCTCAATTAGATTTGCCATTGATCAAGATCACTATAGAGTCTATCAACTATTCCATTGGTTTCACAAATGATGCTAACGAATTAAAGAGACGTGCCTTCAGTGTTCCATCAATAAATACAAACAATGGTCACTATGACCGTCAATTGACTAGAAATGAATCTGAACACATCAAGTTGGTTGAATTGGCTTGTCGTCATATTGCTGCTGCAGCTGCTCTTTCGATTTCAAAACAAAGTGAAGAATCTGCTCAAGGTGGTAAGAAGAAGAGAAGAGGTGGTGTTTTAGGTTTCAAAGAATTGGCTTCAAAGTCAAAATTATCACCATGGCATTTCCATCGTGTGTTCAAATCTGTTACTGGTTTGACACCAAAGAGCTATGGTGACCAATGTTGGAAGTTTATTAAAGATCATGATCGCCCACCAACAAAGAGACAACGTTCTCATTTCAAATCATTATCTGAAGTTTCCAACAATTTCCAAGCTCCTAAAAAGAGTGCTAAAGTTGAAGAAGATGTTGGACCAACTGCACCAGCTGTTCAACAACACAACATCAATTCAATCCCAGAAATCACTGTACCAACTCAACCACAACAACCAATTTCACAAGCTATTCAAGGTTTCAATTTGGATAACAACAATTTATTTGACTTGAATAAGAATAGTTTAGATATCAATATGGCACCATTAAGACATCACAGCTTAGATTTAGGTACATTGAGTTTAGATTTAGGTGATTTTAACAAGCTTGAGAATTCATTATCTCCAAGCTCAAACTTCATTCCAATTTCAAATACCACCACCAACAACTTACCACTACAACCACAATCAATTCAACCTTCACAAGTACCACAACCTTCACAAATTCAACAACAAGCCTCACTTCAAAGACCTTCTTCATCAACTACAGATTTATCATCCTTATCAATTAATCCAATTGACGATACCCAATGGCCAACTTTGGAAGGTTCAACTCCAGCAATGGATCAAGAGATTTCAAAATTGTTGACTCCACCTTCAAGTGTTGGTGAGATTGAATTCAATCAAAAAGTTGGTGCTCCACCTTCTCAAGAAACTTTTGATTTTTATGAAGGTATTAATAAATCACCATTAGAAACTGAAGAATTTTTATCATTAAATAATGCCACTACTGATTATACGTTATTAAATGATCAATATGGTAATAATGAGATTGGTGCTGGTTTATTTTTGGGTAATGATGGTAATGAAATTTTCAATGAAATTACTACATTCAAGAACCAAGGTAATGATTTGATGATTTAAACGAATATTTTATGATTAATTAATGAGAGTTGTGTTGTGTTTGGAATTTTATTGAGAATGAGGGGTTAGTATTGATGATTATTTATTGAGGTTTATATTACAGAAGTTGTGTGTTCTGTAATTTGTTTTGAGGTCGCTGTTTATTAAGATGTTGTTTATTGTTGTCTGGAATTTCAAAAGCTTGATGAGATATTAATTGATGATGTTTGTTTTTTTTAAATTGATGGTGATAGTGGAAGTTGCAGTTATGAGAAGTGTGTGTTTGGTTTATTTTTTTTATGTTTGATACTAGAGACTGAATGGTTTTTTTGTTTTGGTTTTAATAATTGGTTTTATATTAAAGGGCATGGATTAACACTTATTGTCTATTACTTAAGGGATTTTAATATTGTTGATAAATTAGCTTGACTCTACAAGGGGTCTTGATTATAAGAGACGTCAGTGATTGGTATTATCTTTTTATGAAATGGCATCAAGGTGGTGCTAGTGTCCAATCATACTGATCAATTACCATATCAACATTGTGTGGGTCCGAATGATAGATTAGAAAGATTTTTTTTTGTTTTTTTTCATGATTATGATTAATTAATGAAGTTATTTATGATTGTACATAATTAATTATGTCAAAGTCGTTTTAAAATGAAGTCATATTAACGTAGCTAATAATTACAATATCTATGCTCGGAGTTCCGAGGACTTTTTGATTTGTTCAAATTAAAAGTGTTCGCGAATAAATTACATAATATTGGTGGTGTACTCGACAGTCTTTTCTGCTGGTGGCAGTGAAAATTTCACCAGCTCATGAGTTGATCAGAACAACGTCCAATTTCACGATATTATTGTGATAACAGTACATGGATAGCCTTTATCAGCTTATAATAGAATTCATGATCTTCAATCAAATCAAAGACAGTTGCTCACTATATACACACTCAACTAAATGTAGAGCTGCCCCATCCATTAAATATATCTCAATTGCTTCAACCACCTCTAGAGCTGAGTAATTTATTAGATCATTTACAGTCAAGATATTTGAATCTGTTCCATAGGTTTCCATCTAAAGCTTGTGCCTGAAACTCTAATTGATGGATATAGCTTACTGTGGTTCCAACAGTGACAATCCAGGAGTTTATTACATCGTCAAAGACCAATTCATCACATCGATTACAAAATCTAGATTCTACATTATGTGTAGTGCATGATGAAATCATAGTGGTTTGTTACTAGTTACACGGTCCTTATTGACAGACGGTAAACTGAAGAGCTGTCAAGACAATAGGTGGTATATGCTTAGTGAGCCCAATAGTAGTTCTATAGGAGCCGTATACTCCTATAATTTCAAATCTTTCAAGCTGGTATTCCCGTTTCAATCAGAGATCTGATAAATTCCAATTTCGAATTGTTCGCTGTACTCGAAATTTGCATACAAAAATCCGTTTATGCCCGTTTTATTAATTGGCAGACCAAATTACTTGATCAAGTCAATTATATCACTTTCATTACAGCAATAACCACTCAATTGATTGTGATACGAATGCTCCAGGCAATTAGGTAAAGATACTCCATGAGCTGAGGATTTTGTAAAATCCTTCTTGTAATAGTACGTATCAATATATCTGTCAAAGCTAATTCAACGTCTAATTGGGTATATTACTATACGGACAATAGCGCCAATGGCCATCTGGTGCCTATCAACAATATCATCCTTGAAACAATAAACCAACTCATGAACGTCGTTGACAATGATTATTAGATAGTTATAATATTGTTCTCAACATGAATCTCTGAACAATTAACGTCGAGTTACAGGGCTGCCACAATATTGAACTTCTTGTAGAGTTTAACGAAGGCGTACAAGAACTTGGCGCTTGATTGTATAATCTAAGCATGGTGAGTTTTCTTTTCGCCATACTGATTGCCTAGACAGAGTACATAGGATTTGAAATTATTCAGCGCCATGAATTAATTACGTTCGACTAAGTTATATTGCGAGCTTCACGGGGAGATCATGGATAATTGATCCTTCGATGAGGTATAGTCGACCAATATCATTGAAATTAATTGCAGGAGCCTTAGAAGATCCATTACATTTTGAGGTGCATCCGTTAATGGTTAAAGAGGCTTTGAAACTTCGGAAACTTTATTATAAGCTAGGTCTGGGATACTAGGACGTCGAATGCCGGTTCAATCAACATAAGGCCGAGCATGATATATTAATTGACAAGACCAGCTGCAATTATAATAAAACGATATATTATCTTGATTGTTTCATTCAAAGAATCAACCTTAATAGCCCTGATTTAGACGTTCTCTGACCTTTCATTTGAGGTCGTGTGGAATGAGGATACAATCTGACTAGCTCACTCACTAAATAAACCGCACAGGTACCAAAGGGATCAAATAACGAACCCACCGTTGTCCTTTGGAATCTCTATCCAAATATCAAGCCCCCAGGGCCCAGACGTTGTGGTGTGTGAGCACTAACAGACCAAATAGAATGTACATTCACATGGAGAGTGTCAACTCTGTACAATGGTTTATAGTGCTGAGAGAGGCCTACAGGCAACAATGTCCTTTTCAACTACGATAGACGTCGCTAATTTAGCCACTGTGCTGACAATTGTGAAGAAATGTCCAAACCGTCAAATAACACATTGTGCATTCAAATAAATTAGTACATTCGATAAAGTTCTATAAAGACAGATGATATTGAATTTTGACACATTTATCATTGAATTGAAATTTTCATGTATGCAGTACGTAGATAACTTGGTGTCTAGTTGTCAACACATGATTGATGGTTGAATGTACTAGATGCTAGTGATATCTAGCCATTAAACATCACGCATATATGGACAACAACGTCGGTGTGCCACAAACTATTATCCTGGTTAAAAATATTCTAAATAGGTAGCTTGGAATTAGGTAAGGCATCTGTCAGGACTGGAGTCAAAAAGCTGTCAATCTTCATGGTGACCTTAGTGCTGATTTGAAACCAGCGTCTTTTCTGCTTAATTAGTGTAACTGAAACTTGAACATGTTGTGCGCATTTACGAAAGTTCTTCAAGCTTCTCTGGCCAGGGTCAAAGTACAATAAAGATAAGTATATACCTTGAAACTGAACCAATTCTATAGGCCATCCATGTAACCACTAAATCACCCTCACCTCCATAAAATAAATTGACTGCATGAGTGCAGACATGCTAATATTTGAAATTATTTACGAGGGAAACTCTTGGAATTTACCATGCAATGTGCTACATCAACTGCTGAGTCTTATGTTTCGACAAAGAAGTTGACCATACTTCCGATTTTGTATTGTTTCAGAAACAATATGGTGTAACTGTTGGTTCAGTTTTTGATTTTTCAGGACATACATTAATCAACCAGCTGTCTGCAAAGGACAAATGAAAACTAACGATCGCGGTCCAAGAAAATAGATGTTTTTTCGCAGATTGGATTTTTCGTTGTGGACAAATTTGTATTTTGTTGCGCCAACAGAGAACGAAAAATCCCAGAAATTTTTGTGAGCTGAGTTACTACGAAAAATTCGTAGCTCCCTCCCAAAATTTGTCCAAAGATGCTGCCCCAACCATGAAATTACATAATCTCCCAGCCAGGACAAAAAAATCTGATTTTTGTGAAATAACGAAAAATTTTGGTGTAATCTCACGAAAATACCCAGGTGCGAAAAAACGTCTAATTAACTAGGGGGAAGATGGTAATGCGAGCCATTCCAGGTTCAAGCATATCAATTCATTTTATATAAAGACGTTCTGAGTGCTGTGCTCATTTTAGTTAATTAGAAGTAATTCGTGGAAGTTGAATTGTGTTGAACAGGAAAGATTATACGCTAAGACATTATATTATTGAATCAACATGATAAACAGATTTCCATTTAGTCAGCGAACCTATCTGATCATGAGTACTTCTATTATAACAATATTATGGAAGTACATCTACATATAATTGATCAGCTCTGTACTACTCGAATGGAATTCCCTGCACTTAATCATCAAGTACATATAATTAATGATTAATTACATCAAATAACTAAATATAAGTGATCTGATCAACAAAAAAAAGACAGAATAATTTAAAGCATATTATGATTATTGAATATATTTGTTAAAAAAAGAATAAAAGGAAAGCGAAGCGTTAGTATGATAAAATTAGTGATGGACTAATTGGATGACTTAATTAATGACAACTTGAACTGAAAAGGCTTTTAAAAATGTATGAATTGTAATAATATGGATAGGAAAAAACACAGTAGCAATTTAATAAAGATAAATGTAAATGGAAAAAACAAATGATTGTAATAGAACAAACTGAAGGAGCTTCTTGACAAGGTTGATAGAGCAATAATATATTCAAGTCTATTTATCCTCAGCTTCACCTAAGGATAATGGATATTGACCATATTGATCTTCATCTTCATTTGTTGCCAATTGGAAATAATCATCAGTGACAGCAGCATCTTGTAAAGAACCTAAATCACCAGGTGTCATAATATTATTACGATCTCTTGGTGAGCCTGGTACACTTAATGGTCTTGAAATTTTAATTTTTGAATTAAATAAACTTTCAGAACCTGAACCACCATTTGAATCAGTGAACAAATTTGGGTAAGCTCTTCTTAATGCTAAATTTCTAGCTTTAATATATTCTAAACCCATACGTTTCCAGTCTAATAAATCTGATAATCTTTCAGTTCTATTTCTTTGATTAATACGTTGTCTTCTTGTCTTTTGACAGAAATCAAACATTTGATTAGTTAATTGATCAATTGATTCATCAACAGATTTCATACGTCTATCAACAATATAAATACCATAATCTGAAGAATTTTCAATTAAATTTTCCATATAACCACCAAAACCAGATAAATTGGTTGTAATACTTGGAACACCCATAACTGTACATTCTGCTGGTGTATAACCCCAAGGTTCATAATATGAAGGGAAAACACCCAAATGACAACCTCTAACAAATTCATCATAATCTAATGGTAAAATTGGATTATTTGCATTTAAAAATTCAGGATGGAAAATAATTTTGACACGATCACTTGGGTTATTAAATAAACCAACTCTTCTAATTTGATTTAAAATTGGATCATTTGCATCATCACTCATGTTATGAGTAACAATTGGTGGTAAACCATCTCTTTTCAATGCAAAGACACGTCTTTTCAACAAAACACGATCTGAAGAACTAATTAAATCATCCAAATCTGGAACTTCTTTACCATGTTGTTGATATCTTGAACAATGTTCTAATAACCTATGTCCAATTGAATTTTGAACTTCTTTAACTGTATTTTCTAAAGCTTTGATAACAGCTTGACCTTTTAAAGTTTCCACTGTATAAGAATGTGTTTGAGCTGGCATGATAATAAATGCAACAACTGTTGTTTTGGAACCTGATTCTTTCAATCTATGGTTTAATCTTGCCAAACTTTCAATAAAGAAATCAACACCTTTATTTCTATATTCATAACGACCAGAAATGAAAAAATACAAAGTATTTTCTAAATCAAAATCATAATGGCCATAGAAATGACCTTTAATAAACTCGTTGATCTTTTCTTTTTTGATAGCATGTAAATTTTGAAATTCATGAACAGCTTGAAACTTAACAACATTCAACCCATTTGGTAAAACCCCATCAGGTTTTCTTTTCAATAAATGTTCAGATTCATAAGCAGTAATTAAACTGACTGTAGTGAAAACATCAGCACTATGAGCAGCAGCTCTTTCAATACAATAACGATGATAAATACCTCTTTTACCAGCTTCAGCATCAACATCAAAATTTGCCAAATTGTTATAAAAATCAACAGAACCAGCACACAAATAACGACCTAATAAAGTAGCATGAGTGGTGAAAATGGTGGTGACATCAATTCTTCTCTTTCTACATAATGGCAAGGCAACACCCGCCAACCATTCATGGAAATGAGCAATAACAGCACGTTCACGATCATGATAAACCAATTCACCAAGAAACCAAGCAACAAGATAACCTAACAAGATGGCATTATTAGTTTCAGTATCACCATTTGGAGTTGGGATACCACTAATGTTCCATAAATCAGTTTTCCATTCATCTAAATGATGGCCAGCAGAACCAACATCAAATAATAAAACTCTTGGAGCACCTTCAATTAACCAACGACCGTATAAGTATCTAATACCTCTTGAGCCCATTGAATCCAAAGTTGCTTTAATAGCTGGGTCGGTGAATTTTAGTTCTTCAACTTCCACAGCGGCACTATCATAATTTAATGGTCCAATCAAAGTATAACGGTCCTTGTATTCAGATGAAGTGATAGGAGCTTTAGATTTTAAGACAGAATAGATACCACCGACTCTATTAGCAACTTCTGTTGCAACTTCGAATAATAAATGATTTTTAATATCTCTAGTCATTTTGAACAGCTTGTAAGATGATTGAGAAAAAAGGGTTGACAACAAGGATAGCTAGCAATTCAGTTGAAACCTTGCAGTTGTTGAGCACTCAGCTGATGATAGATAATGAGTGTTGATGGATGATAAAGGGTTGAAAGGGAATGGAGGAGCCTTGAAAGCAGAAATATTCTTTTTCGTTGACGATGGTTGTATAAGGGTGAAGGTGGTGATCATGAAGATTGATGATGGTGAGATTATGGGGGGTAAAGAAAAAAAAATCAAGAGACAAGGGAGCTGTGCACGGCCACGCACGGGGCGCTAGGTGGGAGGCTGCCTAGGGCTGCTGGGGTAGTGCGAGCTGATGAGCCTGCAGTTGGGCAGGTCTCAGGGTGTCGCTAGGCGGGAAGGGGTAATGTAGTGGGAGCTGCACTCCACATAGGGAAATACAGGCAGCCACGAGACACGAGCCTTCCCCAAAGGAGACCAAACGGAACAATTTTAGTATTGTTGATCTCGAATTTTAATCAAACCATCATGGCGGCCGCGTGATGGTCATCGAGTGATGGAGTGACTGAACTGGCCTCGCTTTCTCGATTAACAGAAGGCTGGTTTGGTATTGGAATGGTGTACATTCAAAAGGCTGTCTAGGTTGTAAAAGGAACTCTATGCAAGCTGGATATATTTTAACTTCAAAGTTATAAGGGCACGGATAATTAAATGAAATTATTCAACATTAACGACGTCTTCAAAATTACAATCACCAAGTGTACGGCTACTTCTTCCCTCGCTAATCACTGTGCATCTAGAAGACAGCCAGTCTTTGTTATTATCTTTTTCCAAGTTACTTAATAGATAGACAATCTGCAGCATAAGTATTAGTAATTTTCATGAATGAACTATATTGAACCAACCAATTTATTAATATTGAATATTATTCATGTATACAACTGTCAGCGGCCATCTCATGGCACTATAGCACTATTACAACTTGAAGCTTAAGATTTACACATCGTATTAATATTACAAGTGCTACATATACGCAACAGTATGTCAAGATGTACAACCAGGTGCCAGTTTCCACCTGATTGTGCTTCATCTCTTTACATACAATTCAATTCCGACCAGTATTATAAAGCTTGGGTATAGCTTCATGTATACAACCACTTTTTGCATAAAGTATGTAATCATCATTGATCATCAATATCAACACGGTACGATATTGTAAAGAAATTTCGGAAAAACTTGATGATCAGACCAACAGAATTTCATTGTGATCAGATTGTTAATTTTCCATGCTCTTCACCTATTGAGAGGTACACTGCAAATGGTAGCTCCTAGTAGATCAGATCTATTCCTTCAAAATGAACCAGCTTGACGAAATATCTTTAAATGAAAAGCTAGTACTTAGGAAAATTTGAGGATGCGAATAAACGCTGTGACAACGTCCAATTGAAAGATGTTCTCAAAATCTACCTGACCAGTTTTTCGCAGGACGCCATGATAGTTTTGACACCCAATCGGTTGGAGCTTCAATATTGAATACTGTTTCATCTTGGCTTGAGCCCTATGGTTGTATCGTTCCATCATCTCAGAATTAGAGGAGAATATTATTTAAAGATGAGCGTTGTAGAGGCGTAGAGGCTCCTGGATTAATATATCACATACTACACCAAGTGGTGTACTAGTATATATAACAACTAACACTGTAGTGTAGATACAATACGTTACATCTAGATTTTATACTCCTCTATTATAATAGCACCATGAGCATCATACTGAAGTTAAGGAGCACATTGACATTAAACCACATCTATACGGGGTAAAATAATGTTGAGCCTGGACGAGACAACCAAAAGACTGAAACCTATGCACATATTCTCTAGAGTTTACGTGTGTTTGCGTTGACTCAACTAAGATTCAAGATCAGACGTCAAATTTACCTGATCGCTCTCCGGATTGCAAATTTCCATTTTATTTTTGGCGTTTAAACTTCCCACTTCTGGAAACCATAAGCTCCTCTAAAGTTCAGACTTCATGTACACTTTTCACTGCTTGAATTTACCTGTACATATTTCGAACAATGTTGGTTGCAAATTGCAAATCATCAACCTAAAAACCACTTCGTATAATTTTGACTATTTTTAGTCATCGCGAATTCGTTCTGTGATTCCTATAAACTTCTCTTTTTTTCGCTTGGTGGAAAAAATCATCATCAACCCACGTAGACCGTAGTTAGTGTTAAAGTGAAACACACATCCTTTACGTCAAAGACTGCTCAAAGTGATGTCCCTTGATATATTAGCACCAGGCGATTTGATAGGTACTGAATTGAAAATCAAAATCAAGGATCAAAGAGAATTAGTTGGAATTTTATTAGCTTTGGATAATAAACCAAATTTGTTGATAAACAACGTCATTGAATACTCATTTCAACAAGGAAATTTAAATAAAAGAGAATTGGGTTTAGTCTCTGTCCCATTTGATTCTATAACCACTGTCAAGATCAATAATTCAGACTTGGATAAGACAATTAAGTGGAAATCAAATCTGATATAAATTTTATAAGGGTGATACTTCCAAATTCGCGAATTCATTTTTTTATTTCTTGATCGTTGGGCGAAAAAAAAAATCAAACACGTTAAAAAACCAAAACACACATTAGATAGAGATAACACCAAACATGACATTACCACAAGCTAGTGCTGTTCCAATAACGAACAAAGGCTCACTAGAGACAATCACATTAAAAAATTTAGTTGCCTTGGATTTGATTGAAAGTAATGAAAACTTGTTGAAAGCTTTCAGATTGTTTGATGATTCCAAAACTAAAATATCACTAGGTGATAACTTAACTAAAGAACAATTACAAAACTTGATTAAACAGAAACAAAATGAAATAAATACACAGCAAGATGAATTGAAAACTTTGAAACATCAAATTTCTCAAGATATGGATAAAGATAATCAATTGATCAATAGCTTAGCTTCAGAATTTCTTAAAGATGAAATTGCACAAGATGACACAGATCAGCTAATAGCAGAATTTGAAGAAAAAAATGATGTTAAAGTACAGTTCAATGAAAATGGTGATCATTTTAAAGAATTTAGTTTGGATTTAGGTATTAATGCTGCTACAAAACCAAAAGACGAATCAACAGATAGTCAAATCCCTGAACAATCTTCACAACCATTCCCACCATCGTCTAATGCAACAATACAAGTTCCAACATCTGCTCCTGAATCCACAACTATAAATAATGACACAACTCAACCACCATCAGAACAAGCAGCGTCACAGCAAGATAACGATACAGTGATGGAAGAATAGTTACACGTGTAATAAATGTGCATATGTATGACGATTATTAGTTATTAACTCAATATAGTAATGACATAAGTAGTATGATTGGTCAATATATTGGCCTTAAGCTTTTATCATTAAACCTAACTCAATAACCATTCTTCAGCTATGTCTATCCCAACATGTTCATTGAATAAACTAAAATAAGGGAGTGAGTTAGCCGTCAAAGAGCTGTTTGAGATGAAATGGGTTACTTTTGAAATATCTTAATTGAATCTAATCCAATGATCTGCCTCTTAATGTTGAACTGCATTGATGATACCTATCTGATTTTAAGGCCGAAATATCGGAAGTTTTGTGGTTCCAAATACCATGATTACAGAAACAACAGTCCAACGCGTGAAGCTTTCCATGTATCTATACTTAACGATTAATTGATTGCAGTAGGGAGATGGAATATTCAATAGTGAATGAGATCCAACAAAAAAGTTTTAAAATACAGATCTGTCATCTTTTTTCTGCTCAATAAAATTCACTTCCTAATCCGGCTAAATTCCTAATACGGACGAAAACATTTTTCCCATTTTCCTGTCACACAAATTTATTAAGAACAACCCATTTCCACACCAATTTTTGTTGAGATGAAAATCACAAGCTAAACAGCAACCAGTCCCAAATAATCAATTCAAGTGATTTGATTGATAAGTGAACTAAAGAACTATTCAAACGCTAGGGACCAAAAGGAACAAGTAACAATCAGATTGATTTTTTTGCCATTGATATTTTGACCTCTACTGATAAGAAAGAGTGACGCTTAGTTTAACAACATGAGGTGAGTTTGATTCAACCCTTTTATCCTGCAAATTAGTTCAGTATTAACAATAGTATAGTTCTCCAAAGAGAAGAATTGAAACAGATGTTATGAAACTGTGAGTATTGGATCATAATCACACCCCCACAAGCAATAGGGTTGAAATTTTAAAGGCAGGAGACATTAAAATACTAACATCAGTCCAGTCTTATGAGTGATTATGACGTGAGCCTAATCAATGATAGTATGCAAGAATTCTATGTAAGATTCAAAGGACCTGAAGACAGTAAGTTATTGAAACAAGAGTGGTTTTCGAACGTTCAATATGACTAACATTTGACAGCCCCTTTCCAAGGTGGTACATGGAAAATACATGTTGAATTACCAGATCAATATCCTTATAAATCACCTTCAATTGGATTTGAAAATAAAATATTTCATCCTAATATTGATGAAGGTTCTGGTTCAGTTTGTCTTGATGTTATAAATCAAACATGGTCTCCAATGTTTGATATTTTCAATATTTTTGAAGTTTTCCTACCACAGTTATTACGTTATCCAAACCCTTCAGATCCTTTAAACGGTGATGCTTCTTCATTAATGTTGAATGACAAAAAGTTATATGAAAGTAAAGTTAGAGAGTTTGTTAAAAGATATGCAAGTAATCCAAATTTGAAAGTTGGTGAAGATGATGAAGAAAGTGATGAAGAGTTGAGTGATGTTAGTTCATTAAGTGATAATGAGGATGAAGATGAGATTGATATTGAAGATGATGACGACGATGAAATGGTTGGTGAAATGGAAGTTTAATGAATTTCCAATACAGCACCCTTGTTGGAGTTTTCTTTGCTTTACGTTTATCATTTGTCATGTGCTCTCTACAATTTCCTTTATGAACTCTTATGAACTGGGTTATCATTATTATTTTATTGGCGTCCTTTTATTATCTTTTTTTTTGTCCTATATGATTATTTGGTTATTACAATACTCTTTTTGCCCGTTTTTTATTTTTTGTTTCGTGAAAAGGTAAATATTATTACCAAATTGACACTGCTAATCAACCCTATTACTATTATTTGATATAATATACAAATGTTGTTGAAATAATTTAGCACATTGTACTTTATACTAGTCAATTCCTATCAATAAACTATGGGCTTGCCAGTGCCCTTAACCACTTCCCAATCCGGTCGCTCTCGTGACATAAAAATTCCGGAACTTTTTAGTGACGTTTTATTGCCATCAAAATATCTCAAGTTTCAAATCCATTTCGTCTTTCAGCTTAACCCTTCAAGAAGTAAAACGTACCAAAAAGAGCGTATATTAAAATGAAGTTACTGAGTATCTTACCTCTGCTAGCAGTTGCTTCCTGTTTACCAATTTATGCCGTAAGTTAAGCTTTAGAAAACAGGGATGAATCAGGTTTCATCTGAATTTAAGGAGAGGCGCAATGTTAACTAACATTTCCACAGAACATTAGAGTTGTTAAAGTGAATAGCGATGGTATTACAAGTGTTAAAGATTACAAAAATGTCAATCTAGATGGCGTTGAGAGTCTAGAACAGTTAAATATTGCTCCAGAATTCAAAGATTTGGATAAATCAAAACCTCATGGTATTGATCCAAAACCTAAAGGTTGTCATGGGAAAAAATTCAAAGGTCCAAAAGTTGAACCTGATGAAAATGGTGTTGTTGTTGGTCCTTTCAAATCTTATGAAGAAGTTCAAGAATTCACCAATAGTTTGGTTCATAATGAAGAGATTGAATCATCATCAACTAATTCATGGATTAGTGGAAATGATTATGTCCAATCAACAAAGAACTGGGCTAATGATTTAGTTAAAGATGTCAAAGACATTGATTTCAAACAATCTTTTAAAAACATTGCAACAGATAATGATGCTTTAATAGCCGTTAGTGCTGGTGTTTTAAGTGGTGTCTTCTTATACTGCATCATCTATTTGGTCTACTTGCGTAAATTAGCTTTTGATTCTCAATTTGAGGATTATGAAGCTGCACCAGTCTCTCTTCCAGAGTACAGTGATGAAAAACTTCCATTATATGAAGATGAAGATTCTTCAGATCATGAATAAGCTTAACAAAATGGTCTGAATATATGATTGCATGAAAATAGGTTTTTTAGGTATAAGTGAGGTGGTTTTTATGGTTGTTTTTCTTGGTTTGTTTATACGTCTTTCGTTATTTACTCTATATATTATTTAGATATCTATTTTTTGAATATATTGATATTGAAATAACTACAATTTTACTTAAAAAACTAAATTTATTATATATACAGGGATATAATTATGCAAAACATTTCTTTCGTGTGTTTTTTTTCTCTTCCTCCATTAACTCAAACAATAACTGCACCATGATCAACTAATCCTGGTTTATAAGACTCATCACTCGGCACTTTTGGATCTAATGGTTTATACAAATACCAATTTTTCAAAGCATTAACAGAAGCTCTAATCTTAGCTTCTTTCAAAGAAGAACCAAAACTTTCACCTAATTTATTTTTACCACTGAAAACACCAACAACGAAAACTGGATTTTTAGTTGTTCTACCATTTTCTGCTAATAATCTTGCAATTGGAACTTCAAATCCTTCTCTTTTACATAATCTTGATAATTCTCTAGTTGGTTGTTCAAATTCAAACATTTTTGAAACATCTAATTTTCTTGACAAAATATGATCATTAATAAATTTCTTGGTAGCTTGTTCAGATTTTGTTGATGCATATAATGCACCGATAATTGATCTAGTTGCTAAACCATATGCAGTTTTAGTTTCATATTCATGCTTACCACCTGATAATTTTGTAACACCTTTTTCTGATTGTGAATTGACTGGAACAAATCTAAGTTTACCATAACTATATTCAATAGGTTCCTCACTAAGATATTTTTGTAGAGATGAAGTAGAATCCACTTCAATACCCCAAGCATGTTCCCCAATAGATGCTAATGATTCAGCAGATATATAAGAGTTGATAGCTGTATTTAAAATAACAGTTGGTAATCTTGGATATTGAACTAATAAATGTTCACTAACATAATAACTTAACAAGTTTTTACCTAAAATGTTTAACCCATAATTGTCAACTAATTTATTCTGTGAAGAACGACATGTTAGACATCTTGCTAATGTGGATAATTTGAATTCTTTTGGTAGTTCCAATCTTTTATGTAATGCAACTAATAAAGCTGATTGGCTAGCTTCTTCCTCCGTTAGAACTTTTAAATCTTCATTTGGTGAACGTCTTATGGATGATGTGGAAAATGTTTTTGTAATTGTTGTTGATCTAGTTATAAATCTTGTACTTTGAAATCCAAGTGATCTCGCAAGTATGAATGGGTTTCTTAGTCTATTCATGGTGATTAATTGTATCCCTTCACCACACTCTATAAAAAACCACTAGGATCTAGTTGTTTTCTCTTTTTCCTTTCTTCACTATAGATTTTTCATTTTTTTTCAACCTTGAAAATTTCGTTGAAAAATGTTACCCCCAGTAACAAGGAAATTATTTCACCAGATTGGGCAATTGATCAAATTGGGATGTGACCATATTGTTTTGGCAGTACAAGTGGAAAAAGCGAAAAAACGGATGCAACAACATAAAACAACTACTATTAACAACAACTACGGTGTTTTTTTTAAAGTCATAATATTTTATCGTGCATTGTCATTTAAACCTAGTGTTTATATGTTTGGTCAATAAATAATCATTGTTCAATGTTTTTTTGATTAGTGTTTCTTTAATATCTTCATTCAAGAAGAAAAATCAAAAAGAAGAAGCAAATGAGAAATTGAAATAGCAGAATCAATCTCTAGTCACTGCTGTTTTTCAAACTCTGCAACTTGTATTCAACATACTCTAGCAAGGGGGTTTCTATTGTTTTCAGCAAATTTTTCAAAAGCAAAGCTAGCATGAAATTTTCTCTAGTTGGTGGTTATATTGGCTGTGTCAAAGTTCATTATCATTTTCAATGATGACTTTTTTTGATGATATGTGGATAGTGGGGGTCTCATTTGGTTGTTGAATTTCTCTTTTGAGGATTAAATTTATAATTTGGGAAAACTTGACCATGAATGTCTTTTTCCAATTTAGCAAATTTAGCAAATTGTTCTTTAACAGCTTCCGATTCAGTGACCCACAATAAAGCAATAACATGACAGGTATTATGATGGTCCAATTTTGGTTGAACATCAACAATTTCATTTAATAGAGAAGATTTTGGATTTCTCTTCAATTCTTCATCCATCTTCAATAGTTCATCATGATTATTTTCTTTAACCATTTCAACAACTTTGAAAATGTTGGCAGCTTTAATCATTGATCTTTTGTACAGCATAAATTGGTTCAATGGTCTTTTGATTTTATCATTCTTTGAATTTTGTTCAGCCATAACTTTCAAACTTGAAGCCAATTCATCATACAATTTATAATTGACATGATCTTTCAAAATGTTCAACTTCAATAATCCACTTGGAATCGATTCATGTTCTTCAACTGGTGTATCATATCCACTTGATGTATTACAAATGATTTGAAAACTACCATTAACTTCTCTGATGTTCATTTTGGCTAATTTTGTGGATGATGAAGATGAAATTTTAGATCCAAGTTTTCTATTAATAAGATTCAATTTTTCTGAAACATCATTTTGTCTAAATGAATCTAAAATTTTGATAACCTTCTTCTTGTCCAACTTTCTTTGTCCAGCCAACTCTAAAACTTCTTTATAGCGAGCATCAGTAATTGGAGAAACATTAATCCATTGGAATTGGTTTGGAACGGCTGGATTGAAATCAATTGGAGATGGTGAAACGGAAGCCAATTTGGTTGGGATTTTTAAATCATTTAAAGTCTTACTTCTCTTATTGGCTGGTGGTTTAGTTACACCACCTGCTGAAACTGTTGGTGCTGGAACAGAGGTGTTTCTGTTTTTCTTTGCACTGTGTTCAAAATGTTTTGGTTTTTCTTTCACATATAACTTGGAATGGTCTGGCAACTTTTTGTTTGCAGAAGCAGTTGTGAAGTAAGGTTGAAACTCTTCAAAAGTTGTGTGGTAATTTGGTGAGTGTAATGGAGAAGACAATTGGGGTTTTTTTAGATTAAATGAAGGTAAATGGTCAAATGAAGAACCAAAATAATCAACATCTTCAAACTCCTTGTTAAAGCTCAAAACCTGGTGGTTGATATCAGCATTGTTGTTGTAATTGTTAATGTTATTAACTGTATTCAAGTTTGAAACTGACTGGTTTACTTCAGTGTTATCAGAGTTTGGTGGAGTTAAAAGGCCATTAACGAAATAAATATCATTGTTGAATAATCCATTGAGTTGGTTTGATTTGTTCATCTGTGCATAAGCGCCCTGTTGAGAAAACATCAAATCATCAGAATTAAACATTGAACTCTCTTGTGAATTGCTCTTGTACAAATCATTTGAAGTCAAAAATGTATTCAGCCCACCATGATTTGCTTCAGCGGCATTATTGTTAACAGTACTGACACATTCTCCAGTGGCCATTGTTTCACTTCTGAGTAAATGATCGTTATCACCAGTTAATTGGGTTGAATTCAAAACTGAGTAGTCGGGTGGAAACATTGAAAAATCCATCATATCCATAGTGGCTTCAAATGAAGGATGTTGATCTTGTTGATTGTTATTATGATGATATTGGTTATTGATAGATGTCACTTTCAATTGTTCCATAATGCTTAGCGCCCTGTTCTCCTTATACTTTAATAACGATAACTAATCTCCCTCAAAACACAGCAAATAATATAGGTTGAATCTATGATCTCATACGTTGATACTAGTAGTAGCACTTTTGATGATGTAGTAATTTTGATGCACAAAGGCGATTTATCAATTCAATCACGTTCTGACTCGTTATCAAAGAGAAACCAGGATACCTTTTCACATTTATATGATCCAAGACAGCTTTTTTCTGAACCCATTTTCATGCTGATAAAAGAAAAAAAAAAAAAAAATAGAAATCAGTAGATATGCAATATTATGCGCCATCTTGTCTTTAAGCAACCGAGGGCTATCATGCATAGTGAGGATTGTAGCTGCAGATTACAATTTTGCAACCCATACACTTGATGCAGGCCAGTCTCACACAGCTTTTCAAAAGACCATCTTATTCATGCACCAAGCTCTATTTAAAGTTTGAAGGGCCAATTGTGTTGACGTGGTTGCACTATTACAGGGTAAAGCTGCCCCAAAATAGAGCCAAAAAATAAGTGTTCCCATGTGGTGGTTGTACCTAGCAGTTGTGGGCGGGTTTTTATGAGCTGACCAGCTCTACGCGTATTAAAACTCTGGTCAAGGAATCCGTCTGCTGCCTGGACGGGGGCAGAACTTTGGGAGTTTGAAGGAGTGCGATGGTTCCTTGGAGCCTTTGACGGGTGTTGCAGGACGGCTTCATCCACATTCACTATTGAGTCGAAAGAATCCATAACATAGGCTCACATAAATCTATTGTGTGTTTGAAAGGATCAAACATTCGGTTCTGAGTATACTTTTGAGCTGGTGCTCTTCTGTTGTGGCTCATCCACTTAGTGCTGGACCAAAGTGATAAGCTTAGCATCCAGTTTTAATAATAATGAGAAAACTCAATTTTTCTTTGCTCCCGTATTACTAGAGGTCGGCGCTGTGGGCTGAACAGTTGTTGAAAATCATAGTACTCTTCGTCTGGTAGTAAACATGACTAGCGTGTTTAAGAAGTGGACCAGATGGCGATTTTCAGTTACCAAATTAGCACATCAATTTAGTGTGTCAAGGCTTTTCACAAGTTTTTAGAGCTGTTCAACTTTCAAGCACCAATTCAATGGGCTTGTTCAACCTAAATATGTGCAGTAAATTGTTTTAGTGCACAATGTTGTAGATGAGTACACAAATAGCCGCTTATTGTAATGGATCAATAGAGGTAATTACAGCTAAATGCTAAAAGTGCTCCATCCACGGGCTCAGTATTTTGAACCTGATTCAATTGATCGACTGCCAGAATTAAGTATTTGGGGTCGACGAGCTGTATATTAAGTTTCAAGTTTCAACCAGGTATTACAGGTAACAGCACCCCATTACAATATGAATTATATAACCTTCTTTTCAAATGCTAGACGTATTCATTCCACTCTTGGGGTTTTATCTCTCAAATTCTCAATTTGTTAAATGATGCTTAACTGCACCTTAGGGACAGATAGTGTCAGATTATACCCAGCATAGATTACCAGAACTCAATGTATGAGCCACTATATACTCCAACGTTATTCTTAAGCTTTCCCAGTGACAGAATCCAATTGAATAACATTGTAATTGTAAGCAAGGGTGACTAAATCATACAGCTGGATCGATCATTATGTGTTTCCATACCGAACAAGAAGCCAGGAACTACAAATAATAGAGATTGAAGTACGTGCACAAAACTCTCTTCGGGGCCAGGTCCTATCAATTAAGCGCTACACATGATGATAATAACATAGATGAATTGTCACACGTTAGAACTTTAAACTTTATGTATTTAACCAGTAATTCAGAGTACAAGTAGTACATGAAACAGTTGCTTTAATGACTACTACAGTGATATTAAATTCTGCAAGTTATTATATTGAAGCTCAAATTAAAGTCTTTATGATTATACTAATATCGCGCGTACTTTCTAACCTCTTGAAGCCGTCTCTGTATCAAATATCTTGATCATTAACCCTTCGTACGATTGATGCTTGATCGAAAAATCATTAATAGTATTATCATTAGGCGCTTAATTATGCAGAAATATATGGGTCTAAACGGAACATAAAAAGCGACCCAAATTTGTTTACATAAAGCTTGAGCAGCATATAGCTGTACCAATGTTAAGGTAAAACCGTGAAGAGCTAGCAAGTAACAGCTATATAGTTCTAGAGCTTCCACTCATTATGAACTTCCTAAAGCTGAAATTATTTTCAGTCACAAGCAGACATGTACATAATCTGACGTCCTAGTAACTAGTAACCTTCCCGCACAATTGATCAATTGCATTAGTGTTACAACTTATTAGCTCTTGATTCTCAGTGGGCTTCTCAATTCAAGCATTGTTGACTTTATTATAATAATTTTTGCTGTAATTTAATCAAATATCATCCTCAACAAAGTTGATTTATGAGTCGATGGTGAAATCACATATGTAATTCCACATTTGGAAGTCTCCTTCGAGCTACAATCATGTATAACAATGTTGAACTATTAATCGTCTGTATGTGAAAAGAATAAATTATCGATTTGTTGAGATTAGCCGACGTTACAAAGGTTGTTTACTGTACTTGGATTTTGGGGAAACTTAACGTTTGTCGGTTCGGTAAGACGTCAGATAATATCTTACACTGATATCAATTGCCAGTGCATTAGATAAAGATATAAGCCTCTAATGTGCGTCATCTTAGTATACTTCGGGAAATATCAAGAGCCAGCACTAAAGCGCAATAACTAGTTGTTGATCCAGCTTTCAACATTAGCCAAATTATATTCTAGCTTTATTCAATTAATAGAAGCATTGTCGCTGGCTTCAACAAGAGTTGAAATATATGGAATATTAAGCATGGGTTGGTCTTTCCAATGGTCTAGACAATATTCGTATCCACTACTCCATTGAACAGTTAGCTTCCAATGACTTTCATAAGCTAGTAAGCTTCAATTATTCCATTACAACGTGAAATGTGGGCCTCGTATAATCGAAACTCATTAATTATAACAGCTTGCATAAAATATGCACATGTAAATTTTGACGAGCACCACAGGAACCATCTTGCTCCACAGAATTATCAGAATTGAAAATATGAGGAGCTAAACATGTGTACTGTCAAAATGAGTTTACATTTTGAAGTTTGAAGCTAACAATAGTCGACTAAAATTCGATTTTGGGGACCTCTGCGATCCAATTGATATTAGAAACCTCTTCTCTGACTCTAGCTGCACTATCGAGCCCAGCAGACCAGGGTACAATAGGGTTGAACCCAGCTTTCAAGGCGTGAAGCAGTACAGTACTGAGCTCTAGTGAAGTATAATCCAAGAACTATAAACAATTATTGTTCTTGGTACAATGCTAATCTTTCCAAACACCTGCATAAAGATGGTATATATATCATGTCATCTAGATTTGAAATTCGAACAAGCGGTGTATTGAACACAGGCTGGCCTCTACAGTCTTTCAATCTTGATTGATGTACATTGGTTACAGAGTACAGTTCCGCGATCCGATCCCCAATATGTACTAAACTGGAGATGACTCAAGTCCAAAGATTAGATAGCCTTGCAGAAAGTCTGTGATTACAGAAAGCAGTATGAGATGTGAGCAGCATACACAAATACTTGAATAGTGTATACATACAGCCATTTGTGCTGGGCCTCCGAAGTTCCAAGAGTATGACATGTGGAATCAATAAGGTTCGATTGAAAAACAACAATAGAGCAGTTTGCGTTATGAAGGAGTTAAGTGAACTACGTTACATAATACAATAATATGTGACTGGCTGATAAGATTATAACGTTTGAAAAAATATTCGAAACTAATTAATTGTAGTTACGTCTGACGTATATTAATTGGAATTAGCTAGCTGCTCTTCGTGGCTCGCGTTATAATAACATCCTTGGCCTTTTCAACTAGCGCTGGTTATTTGGTCACTTATACACATATAAAGCTGTGATTTTTTTTCACATAGGTCCTCAGCTTCTGGAGTTAAGACCAGCGGTACTATATAAATAGTCAGGACTCAGGATGAATGCACTCATGTGTACAGTGGGTACTTGTACTACCTAATGTAATTGGCTAAGAAGAAATTATATCACAAATACAAGTTCCGCATGATTAGTAGAGCAATACCAGAATCATTATATAACGCCATAACAAGATATCGCCGCTACAAGTATTGAACTAATACAGCTGAATCCAATTCAATTATATCAAACACGTCACGTCACGTCATGATTAATTCATCAAATACTTATACGTGAAATGCCAACCTCCATAATTTTATTTAACCTCACCAACTCAGGCAAATATATATAAGTGTTCCGTCTATTTGATGCTCTACAAATACTTCTGAAATAAGCAGCACTTAGTTACTAGCGTACGTGGTATGTTTGTATACATTCAAAGTCTACGACTGCAATCATATAGGAACTCAAATATTTATTGAATCCATTGGCGAAGTCTCAATTAAAAAGCCTATTCGACGTAAATAGTGGTATAAAAGCCGTGATCTCGTTGGCCATTTCTACGTATGTAGAATTCACCCCTTGGTCCTGACTCCTTGACCATCGTGTAGTTGTAGCCAGATTTCCAATATGATTAGCTGAATTTAGCCGCTTCGAAGGTCTTTGCAATATCGTAGTATTTAAGCAACTCTAAATCTGGAACCTTTGCTGCAACCACTCACCACTGGACAGTTATAAGGCCTTAAAGTTGTAATCAGTTGTAAGGTGTACACATGAAGTGATAAGGTATACACAATACAAAGTCTTCAAATTTCGAGCTAGCTGCAAACTGATAGCGCGGATCCTTTTATCAGTTGTAAGTTACCATCTAATTATGCGCTATGATGCATGATATCCGAAGCTTTATTAAACAATGCATAGATGTGGGTAAGTATCGAGACAATGCGCCATACTCTATTTTATATATATGTGTAGAGGATAGTTATAAGCTGTGAGTGTGTAATAGATCATACAAACTAGGTACCGACTTTCGGCGAGCTGCAGGTTGGCAAGGCTCGCAAATGCTCGTTGAAAATATTAATATAATGATCAATTATTAATGTATTGTTTATTTACCGTCGACTAATTATTATAATATATATATTTTGCAGATCATCAGCCGAGTACACTGGTCCCTGGATCACTCAGCTTTATATAATATTATAAATATCATTAATATCATGATCAATATATATCATCATGAGCTAGTAATTTTAAAAACTTCAATATGTGTGAGATATTGTATTGTTGCGACGACGCCGGCATCGTAACTATATTATAATGCAGAATATCCGAATAGGCGCTAGCAAACACTGGCCAGGCTCTGATTAACTTATAATGCTGGCTGAGTGTTCGAATTGATGGTTTGTATATAAAGAAGCAGGCTTCATATAACTCAAAGTGAGGAAATTTTTTTTTTTTGTGAAAATTTACTGGTAGGAGCACACCCAAAGTATAGTACAGACATGATACAGCTGTTCCGATTATTAATCGGCCCCCTTAGCTTAGTGGTAGAGCGTTGCACTTGTAATGCAAAGGTCGCTAGTTAAATTCTGGCAGGAGGCAAATGTTTTTTTGGAATTTTTTTTGCCGCTTTTTAGCATCATAACGCAGTTTTTGATGTTTCTTTTCAATTAAATGCGTTTTATAATAGATATTTTCTTTAAAAATTGACATTTCTGCTCAAAATCGAGTACATTGTTTAGTATTTACTGTTCCATGATCATGGCGCGCGTAAAGGTGCAGCTTCAGTATGTAGCTTGGAAATTCCGCGATTGAAAAACAAAATTTTTGGCAGTTCATGAACAAAGTTAAAACCATAAACTCGAAACAGTCTATCTTTCAACTCTTCCATGAGCTATATTATTACGGCATTTGAGTCAATCATGGCATGACTTATGAATTATTACTTCTAGCTCTTGAGATTTCAAGATGGTTGGGCTCAAATCACGGCGTTTAAGCTAATTACCGGGGCAGAATATATAACGTCTAGTTGGTGTACTGCATCGACAAGATTCTCAATTAATATCAGATTTTGGAATTGGGGTGGGCGCTACTGATAAAAGCATATATGTGTACGTTGACGAACTCTCAAAAGTCTGTCAATTATCTACTATATTATTGGTACTTATAACATATCGAAATATGATACCAAAGACATGGCTCATGAATATGCAGTGTTATCGTGAGACTGAATTCGGATATTGATATTAAAGTTACCATTGGTGATATGCCACAGCTCCAACTGTTTCTAGAAGTTGTACTGTGAAAGGCTAGCACAGGTCTGAACTGCCGTGATGTTCCCTGTGTTTAGCGTCTTCACAATTCTGAGTTACGGTCGATCCTTTAGATGGCATGAGGTTACTTGGTTTCGAGAAACAATAAATGCACAAAAGAGACAGCATTACTGTGAATATGAGTTACTGTTTTGAGCTGTTGGAGGCTTTCTTTTGTGGCTGACCCTTCTAGGTCCTCGGCTCATCATTTTCTTTCACATTACGATTCGCACTAGGTGGCTCCCTGCTAATGCTCTTTAAATTGACGGGTCTCGACATCTAGGAAGCTGGTCTATGACTATAATAATTGGTGACAGAAATCTTGATTTGTGCTGAGATTTTGTTGATTAGTTTTTATAAGCGAACCTTAGAAACGATCTGGGTGTTAACTGTTAAGCTTGGTGTGTTGAACAACTGGTTAGCCAGAAGCGTCGAGGCTAGAGATCTCTTGAAGGTAGCCCAGGAATATTCTAATCAGACTGCTACGATTCTAGTTGTGTAACGTGTCTGTGATTTTGTTAAATATAGCCCAACAAAATGTCAGAGTCAAATTGTAGTTGTTTGATGAACGGTATTATGGTGGAATATACTTAATTATAATTTGACTATACCCGCTCAAACCCATATAACCAGTAGCCAGATATGAACATAGAGGCGTACTGGAGCAATTAATATTTTGCATTCTTTCTATGGGAGCCAGTATAGCTTTCAATAATCTGGTCTCAATTTCGGGTCAAGTTTCCCAAGGATGAGTGCCGGCAGTGTGTTTTAAACAACAATTGACCAAGCGCTGATGCCAATGTCCAAACGTTTTTAGAGTGTAATACTGGTGTTTAGAGTGTTTAAAAAACGTCCTGGGTAGCCAATTCAGTTAGACAGACACATATCTAACCTTTGCATCTATGCGTTTTATCCACCATAATGTTCAAGCTCATACAACACACTGGCTCTGATTCCTGAACCTACCACTCAGCTATATTATTGGTTAGTTAAATGGACACAGCTATAAGACATATGCGTCGTCGAAGAAACCAACTTGAATAGGAAATGTACTAATTAATTATTTAAAGAAGGATATAATTTGGCTGATTTTGACAGCTGGTTCTTGTGGGTTAATTATATTGTGAAACTGTGAAGCTCAACCTTCCCTAGTACAATTAATTATCTAATGTGATCATGAATATATGGGAGCAGTATCACTAATGCTGAAAACTTTTGAATTGCTGGTCCAGATTCCATTCCCTACAAATTATATTAGACGTACTAGACTTCAGTGTGCAACTCAGATCTGGTTGAAACTTGATCCAATATGTATGCTCAATATCTCTCGGAATACAACGTTATTAATCAAAGCTTTTAGAGCCTGATGTCATGATCTTTCTGGTGAAGATTTTGTGTTAGCCTACCTTTCAGTAATATGTACCTCATTTACGTTGTTGTAGAATCTAGGTACATTACCACTTCTAAGTATCAAGTTAACGCTTGGAGGCCCTCTTCACGTCTATATGCTCTCCAAGTTCTAACGGTCGGGACACGGATGTCGGTTCCCACTCTTTGATGTGCATATACGTCATGCATATACGCTGCATCTGCATGTTCAGAATCCAAATCTGAAAAAATCTGACAGAGCACAGCGTCTAATTCATGGGTGTACCTCAACTCTCTTTTCAGACTCCAGCACTCTTCTTATTGTACCTCAGACAACTTAAAGAACAGAGCTGTGATGAGATAAACGCTAGACTCTGAATAGCAGAGAGTTTGATCTTCAAGGAAATATGGAATCTTTACATCACCTTCAAGTACTTGAGGCGCCAGCTCTGTCTTTTGAACTCACAACTAGCTAGCCACACTGAGTATATAATGCATTCGACAATAATATTATTGAATTAAGACAATATAGCTGATACTCTTAAATTAGGTGCTTCTGCATCATTAAATTGATGGTGATGGTGACAGCTCTAGCTCATGTAGTACTACTATTGGACGTAACGTAACTAATAAATAATATATATTCTAGTTCTCGCTAATTATAATAATATTACGCGCTATCATGACCGTATATATCATGAGAACGTTAGGCCGCTTGAAGGCAATCACAACTAGACGAACAAACTCTTATAAGTCTCGTTCATGAATAGATCATGTGTATATTGTATACTCATTAAAATTGAAACTGATAATTCATCATGTACATTAATATTGATCATAATTTAGTTCTACCTTTGCACTGTGACGTCCTGAGACTTCTAGATTAGCAGAATTCATAAATCTAGCTGTACGAGTTGATTCTAACAGCTGGTGAGTAACTCTTCCATTGCAGTGCAATAAATTATTTTACCAATTAAAACAAATTGATATTTAATCAGAATCTCTTTGGTTGATTGTTGATCCATCCGTATGAATAGGAATTTCAAACGTTTCAAAGCACCAGAAATTTATGCCAAAGATGAACTAGAAATTTGCCATCGTATTCTTGCTTATAATATTAATTAATTTGGTCAGCTAGCAGCTTATAGATTCCTTACACTGGTATGCAAGTATTCAGGTAGCAATTGGTATTTCAAGACATTTGAATTCTCAGCTATTCTTATGGATAGAATTCGAAACGATACCAGCTGGTTGTACACCTGTATTAGCCTTCAAATAGTTGTCCAATGCAACCAACTAGTTTAAGGTTGTGATCATTCATCTATCAGTGTTCAAATGTCAATCAACTCCACCAGCTTTGAATGTCGAGACAATTGGACCAACCGTCATAAAATACTGACCCTCTTAGTTCCCACCTGCTTCACAACCAAAGAGTCAAGCCAGATTAATTCAATAGCTAGTATCCAATATCCTATACCTTTGTAGCTTCAACCAGCTGACAATCACTCCCGTACATTTCGACTTCATTATGCCCAATATGGCTGCTCGACGCGACGCCCAAGTTTTTATGACAGCTTCGCGAATTCGCGAGTCACGATAAGCCGAAGAGTCAAAATCCTATTAACCGAGCTCATCAAAAAGCATTTTCGAGTCTAACTTCAACACTTTTAACTCTTCTTAGTCTTTTACATTACTTATCACTTGAAAGCTGGTCTACAATTGTGCAGATATGTCACGTTTGAGCAAGATTAATCTTGAGAGTCCCAATGCTGTTGGTTCGTTTGTTCAGTTTGCCAGATTACTATCCAATCCATTAGTTTATGACAAAATTAATGACTTTATAACCAATAACAAAGATTCAGTCTTTGATATTGTTCAATATTCCGCTATTTTAATATCAGAAATCATAAGAAACTATCCAAAATTGAAGCATTTGATTAGAAAACTACTGTTCAGATTCAAATTGATAAAAGTTGAAAGTAATGAAAAAGTTGATGATCAAGAACCACAATTAACAGAAACCCAACAGTATTATTCCACGGTATTCAGATCCATGTATGGTTATATTTCAGATATAAGAATTGCGCAAGGTATATTTGCTATCTTCCCATACATATCCACATTTCTAAAAGATTATAACTCTTTGGAGAAACTGAAGAATATAAACACAAAAGATAAACTATTTGATTTCACAACATGGGCAATTTTCGCTATTTACACAGTATTCGAAAACTTGGGGTTCTTACTTTCACATGACTTCATCCATGATAATTTCAATCACCTTCTTTTACCACAACATAGAAAGGACAAGGGTCTTTCTTCATCGGATTGGTATTATGTTTATTCATGCAGATTTTGGTGTTTATGGAATGCAATTGAAGTGTTGAAAGATTTGAAGAATGGTGTTCAATTTAATCTACTGTGTGATTTGATTTTAAGTTACCATTGGTCAACTACTACTGGTGCACTCGATAAAACTTCATTTGCAATTATAGGATTTGCTAATTCATTTACAAAATTTAGAAGATTACTACGTCAATAGATGTCATTCAACTCCCTAAACCATGTAATTTATGCAAATTATTCATTAATTATTGTAATTATTCAGGATTCTCCTTCAAAAATTTAGTATGTTCTATCAATTGTGGACAGAATGTTTTTGGATCTTGACCCCAGTATTCTTTAAACTTCAAACCAATTCCTATATCTGTAACTGGTGATTCACCTTTATAGTCTTTACATAAAGCAGCAGTGACAATCTGGAATATTCTCAATTCAAAATCATAACCTGCAGCTTCTGTTGAAGACATATACATTCTAATATGTTTACCATCAATGATAATCTCTTCATCGTGTAATAAGGCAAATGGTACCAACTTTGGATAACTTAGATGCATAAAGAAAACATCAGCTTTTTTAGCATTAGGTGCTTCAATCAATTCATTATGTTCACCTAAATGTGAGCCTTTCAATGAGTTTTCATAGTCTATTATTGGATCAGCTTGACCCAATGCTTTACTGCTAAATTCACCAGCTTTATGATGATGTCCAATGAATTTAAAAGGTTGTAAGACTTGATAGAATTTGTTTCCAAGGACAAACGCAGCTGCAATGAAAGTTTCTTTATCACCTTCGCCTGCTGAACCTTGGGTAAACAAAGTGTAATATAATTTGGGGCCAAAAACATTATAATATAATGATAACAACAAAGTCTTTGCATGTTTTGTCTTGTTGATCAAAATCATACCACTTTCACTTGATGGGTTTGGTAAAGTGATTTCCAAATCATGGAAACTAACATCTTTGTTTATATCAAAGTTTGTTGGATCTTGACCTTTATAAGGGCCTCTAACGATTTGATTTGTTACATTAACTCCTGCAATTTCAAAGTATTTTGGATGTGTTGTTCTTGCCCATGCATCTGGCCATATAACCAATCCATGATCTTTCATAACTTTGGAATTAAATAATGGGGTTGGATCTCTCATTGGAACATTGTCAGCATCTAAAAATAAAATGTTTTCGAATTTTGAAACCAAGAATGCAAGATTTTTATATTGATATCCTGAGATTTTAGCTTCTAATTTTTTAGAAATATCACCAATTTCTTGATGTAACACTGAACAACGAGAATTAAATTTTGGTAAAATAACTTCACATAATTCTTCTTCATATTCACTTTCATCACCGATAAACACTTCAATTGGTAAATTACATCCTAGGGTTCTCAATTGTTGAATCCCAATGAATGCTAGCCAAGAAAATTTAATACCACCAACAAAAACAATACCATTACCAAAAGGTTTTGAATCATCATTATGGAAACTAACATGTTTATCTGCTAAAATATCATTTAAATATGATTTATGAGATTCTTTTAATCTTCTGAATGAAACATCATCAAATTCTAACAAGTTTGATAAATAATCCTTTGAATAAACAAAATCATCGTCTGTAGCGAATTTTTCTTTAGCCTTTTCACCATTTTTATAATTTATTAATGGAGCAACTGATGGAATATTGTCATTAACTAATTTGAAAACCCAGTTATATCCCTTTTGATGTTTTGTTTCACCTCCAACGACACCTTGGTCAAGATTTGATCCTGTGAAATCTGCAAACTTAGCTTGGAAAGAACTTTGGGTGGTTTTAGAAGTGGTGAAATATAGTACAGTTAAAACTATACCAAAAAAGATTGTTATCCTCTGAACTCTTTTTGGAATGGCCATATTGAAGAGGAAATTACAACAAAAGCTTGATGAAGGTATTTTCTCCGATTTAATGAAGCCTTTGAAGAATTCTTGAGTCTTTCACTTGGATTTGAATGCTGTTGAAATGCTGATGGTTGTTAAATTTCACTCTTTGATGTTTTGATTCAATCTTCAACAAAAGAAAAAAAATAAAAAAAACTTGATCGCGTCTGGTAAATGCACTACTACAGCAATTACTTTTGACATGTAAGTACAAAATTAATGATAAATACTTATGACCTTTGAAACAGATGAATAAGGGTAGTCCAATAGGCTGGGTAGACTAGCTATCATTCTTTTTTTATCTGACTTTTTGTCGTTCGTAATGGTCTATTTTTGTCTTTTCCTACTTCAAATGGACAAAATTTGGTCTACAACAAATACAAAACAGTTGAATATCATAAACCCATAAACAATGTAACCAGGAAACAGCCAATGATTATTGACTTGACTACTTTGCAGCAGCATTAACCTCAACACCAGTGACAATAGTGACTTTTTCAGTGGTTGGTTTAGCTGCCAATTTCAAAGCAGCAAGTGCAACATCTTCACCATGTATTGGAGACATTGCGAATCTAGCTAATGGTGTACCAGCTGTCCAGCCTGCCACTATTCCAAAATATTTATTCCCAAACCATTTTTGCTCTTTTCTTTCCCCTAATAAAATACCTGGTCTCAAGATAATGGTATTTTCAAAATCCAATTTAAGAACAGCATCTTCTAGTTCACCTTTCATTTTCAAATAAGGAAACATCGATCCACTGGAAGCACCAATAGAAGAAATCAAGACATACTTTTTGACTCCTTTGGCCTTTGCGGCTTTTGCCATCTCCAAGTTCAGATCATAATCAATCTTGTATTGTTTATCAAGACCTCCAGCTTTTGCTCTTGTAGTACCCAAACCTGAAAAGAAGGCATCAATAGGCCCTTCAACCTCTTGAAGTTTTTCAGCCCACTTGGTTGAATCTTTCTCTAAAATGACCTGGATTTTAGAATCCGATGCATTATCAGGTTCACTTCTACCTAAACTGAAGATTTTCTTGTAATACTCTGGAGAGTGTTTCAAAATGAAGTTACCACACAAACCGGTTGATCCAATGATGAAAGCAGACATGATTGATAGCTTTGAAGCAGTTTATTGAGAAAAAAAAACGGTTACTGGAAAAGAGCAAAAGTTTCTACAACGACAAAACAAAAACATTTGTGCAGGCCACTCCATCAACACTTTTTTTTCGCGAAAGTGTTTTGTTTTGTTTTGGCGCTGTCCTTTTCTTGCTTAAGTTACACATTACAAAATACAACTACACGGTTCAAACAGGTTACAATGTGGATCAAATTAGTTTATAAAAGCGTGGATATTTTCATGAAACCATTAATATAGAGAGTGGAAACATTCGGAGTGGTTTTTCTCACCAAGTTTGAAGCTCTTCAAAATAATCAACTCTACCTTTGGTTGCATCAAGATTTTGGCTAACTGCATCTCTAATACCATCAACCATTGCATTATGAGCACATGTCATTACACCAACACTATTTTCTTCAGCTTCCTCCAAATCCTCTCTGATGAGCTGGTCAATATTAGGTCTGCCAAATCTGAATTCAACAAAATCAAGATATCTAGAGACAATTTCATGTGGCGTTGAATCTTGTGGAAGTTTCTTATTGCTGTTCCGTTGACTCATATCATTGATACTAGCATCTTCCTTTTCATTAAAGTAAGATTCAGATGAGATTGAGCCAAATTTGGAACCAAGACTGGAATCTGCTTTTGTGATATAAATTATGACATCCAATGGTAGACTCTTTAAAGTCAACAACTCTTCATAAAACCAATCAATTGAATGCCAATTCCTGATAACCCAATACAATTTGATATGTTTGTTTGAAATTTGTGCCAATTTTTTAGCATAAGCATAAATACCAGGGATACCATTACCGCCAGCATATAGAAGACAAGTATCATAATGTTTCATTGGTTTGGGATCGCCATATGGACCTTCGACTGTGACTTTGATTTTTCCAGTCTTGTTTGACTGACTTGCCAAATCTTTGTGAACCTGAGATGTTACACCACCCTTGATTTTGGCGTAAACACAAACTTCATTTTCATTATCCGAAACTAAAGTGAATGGATGTGATTGAAAAAATGTGGTTGGTCTCAAAAAATGAATATAACCAAAAGATCCTGGAAATGCATTCCAATATTTGGGTTTGGGAATACGAATCTTTAATGTTTCGTCAGAAACAACGGTCACAGTTGCTGTTCTCACCCCAAAACTGAAAAGTCTTCCAATCCTTACAGCCCTGTCAAAAGCCCAAATAGCAGCCATAGAGTATGCAAATTCAGAATATTTGAAATTATGGATATGAATCCAACTCGCAGTTAAAAATAATACAGCCATTGCAATATGTATCAATAAAAACAATTCATAATAATGAGTTCTAGTCCAATGTATTGCTGAAACCATGATTATTCCACCAACTATTCCTGCAACAATACCCCATTTATACCAGTGTGTTGCAATCCTTTGTTCAAATCTACCACTTGCTTTTGATTGGATGTGTAAAGAAGCAGCATGTACAACAATCAAAAGGAAATTGAATCTGGAGATCCATTTATGGTAAGTTATGAATGTTGACTGTTTCCAACCGGTGAGCCATATTAAAAAATTGTTCCTTCCAGCAAACAAATATGTTAATTGGAATCCATACAAGGCAAGAATTCCTGCTCTTATACCAATGTAAACAGACATTTGACTTGTTTGATTAGGAAAGAAAGTATTTCTTTGAACAAAATGATATCTGGCTCCTTCAAAGATAACATTGAGCAGGAAGAAACCAAATATCACAATAGATTCACCCCTTGTTGGTAAAAGACCTGAAAGCATTGATAGTCTTCTCCCGAATGGGTAAACAGCTTGGGTATGTTTTTTGTTTGAGAACATAGCTGGCATGGTGATATTTTTTCTTATTTTGTTCACGAGACTATAGTTAAAATGCCCACTAGCAAATGCCATCTTTGAAGTTAAATTAGCTAGAGCAGCACCCAAAAAAATCACAGCCCAATAACCCATTATACCACCTCCAAAATATATTGAGTCGGCAATCATTCCATAGAAGGCCCAATAAGTTCCATAAGCACTATCATAAGCTGTTGAATTGTAATGGTCAATTGGACTTTTGATCACTGAAGAAATGTTGAACCCAGAAATATCAGTTGTTTTAACCATATACTTGGTACCATTTTTATATGCTTGTCTTAAGTCAGCGGAGTCCAAGGTAACATTAAGGTTTTCACAGTATTGAATCAAAATATATTCAGCTTTTGTATTGTTGATTGATGTTTTTTCATAGATACAATTCATTAATGAAGCCTTTGCGGCAGGATCAAGACATTGACAAGAATATGACTGATCATTATCATCCTCACAAAACAATGCAGTGTGTGTCAAGGCATATTTACAACCAATTACCACCAGCTCGTCATGACTATAACGGAATTTTTCAACTGCTGAAACTATGATGAATAAGTGAAGCCAGCTTAATATTGATGTCAGTTTCATATCTGGCGAGATTGTGCGTACTAGGTTATCTGTTTACTCAATTACAATCAGCATTGAGCTACTACTCGAAACAGCGCGAAGTGTGCTTCATATAATCAAAGATCATGATGACTGTTCTTTCTTGTTGTTTGGTTCTGGAAGAAAATGTGCCTTTTGTGAGTGCTACTTTAAGAACTTTTCCCTATAATCAATTTGTCAGGAAGGCCAAGAGTATATGCACTGGTTTTCAAAGTTTAAGTGTATTTCTTTCAAAAGGACCTGCGTTTTGGAGACAGTGCTGGTGGAGTTTGATACAAAAGAAGCCCAGATATGTCAGTTTTATGTCAAACATGAACATACTATAGCCCCGGTTTTTATGAGAAGGGGCTGAAAACATGGGAAACTTATTCAAAAATTAAGACAACTTTGGCTATGGCCGATGCAGAAAGCACTATTATTTTTTACAATTCAACGTAATTATGTACATTTGGTTTTAGTTGAAGAGGTTGAATCAGATCATGGTTTATTTAAAGATAGAAACAAGTATGTCTCAAAAGCTATCCTTATCCAAACTTTGGTCAAGGCTTGTGTGCTGGATGGATAATTTTTAAATGTGAATGAACCACTATATTCAGGCATACTTACAGTGAATCAATATCTAATGGAATACCTGATTTCTTTGAGTTCCTGCTCATTAAAGTTCAAGTTCGATAGGCCCCAAATAAGTGGATCAATGATCTCTACATCCTTCAAGGAAACTCGGGCTATCAGTTCATTTAGGCAAAATGCAGATCATCATCAATTTAATTAAACCCTTGTAGATTTGAATACATACGTCGTTTTCAAGAACTTTTTGTTTTCCGCAGCTGTTTGGTGACTGTGCCATCAAAAGAGGCTGTCAACACTGCGTCAAGTATGCAATCAAAGAAAACAGATGCATCGGGATTCGGAATTCTTGTTCAGCCTCCGACACATACAAGATCGAAAGATACAACACTGAAGGCAAGTATATTGTATTTCGGCCATACCAAGTTTTATTTTGTAGTTCAAGAGTAGCGATCTAGAACCTGGATAGATCAGCCCAAGACTCGTGTACGCCGTTAATTGCGACCCTATACAGTTCTAGGGATCGGCCTTCCATCAACTTATCGTTTTCATCTACGATCTAGTACAACCTCTGATTTTTTTCATTAATGCTCTCAAATCTATGCCCATACTCTCCTATGATAGCTTCTTAAAAGCTTTGTCTAGGTGCGATGTGGCATCATAATTCATTTTGGTTTTGGTTTGAACGATTATAACCTCATGACTTTTGAAAAGGACGAGCTTGATATGTAGATATCAGACAATATAGAAGCTGAGCTGTACCCTCATAATACGTAGGTCGCCAAGAGCATGGAATTAGGCATTAGTAATTGTTGATAATCATTTGTGGTTGTATACTTGAGAATCGAGATCTATCTTTCGCAGATAACGTCTGCTGCCACCTCGCCCATTAGAATGAAGAGATAAAATATACAAAGCCTTCATATGGATCAAAAATCGGCGCAACTAGAATTCATGTAGAGTTTGCCCAAAAATGAGGTGAAAGAAGTGTACCAAGGAATCATACTTCAAGCAGCTGTTGACAGATGTGAAACCGACTACTCTGATATATGTAATTACTTTATAAAAAACTTTTCCATAAACTCATACACAATATCCTTAACAACATTCCCAAATACATAATTAAATACATGAATTACCCAATCCAAACCATTATTTACAAAGATGGGGGGCTCAATTTTGGTAATTCTTGGATATATTGATCAAATGCAATTCCTTCTTTTCTTTTTCATAACATTCATAAACAAACTTCAATAAATAAAGTTTTCAATTCATCTTCATGATCAAGCCATTGCACCAATTCCAACAACTAACAGTTGTGAAGCAACAGTTTTGGACCACATTGCAATTCTTTTATTTCTTTGTTCAATTTCATATTCATGAACATGTTTTAACCAATCAATGTAAATCTCAGTTGAAATCAAATCTAACAATTTACATTCACTTAATGTTGAAACATTTTCTAAATCATCCAATTTTTTAACAACTCTAAAATTCAATGGTGGTAAAATATTTGGAGAACTTGTTTCAAAACTTTCAGTTCTTTTATTATTAACATAACTGATGATTGGTTTTAAATCCTCCATTGAAATTAATTTCTCACCATTTGAAAAAGCTGGTTCCTCTGTTGGGATTTTAGCTTTTAAATCATTAAATTGAATCTTAAAATCAACAACAATATATTTTGAAGAAGTGATTTCATCATCTTCAATAACTGGCTGCATTATATCAGCTGTTATATCAGCTTTACCATCAACTAACCAATTGAATTGTGTGCCATTTAAACCTAAAGCATCAATATCAATTGGATCTAATTTCAATCTTGTTATACGTTTCCAAGGATTCAAATCATCTTCAATATCACTAACATAAGCATATTTATGTTGTCTTTTATGGATGGTATATAATGAATTATTAACTGAACCTGTTATTGTACTTGCATTGAAAAAATCAACTAATAACCATTGGATTCTAACTTTTGGTAATTCACAGTTATAAATTGCAAATTCTAAAGGTTTTTCACCATTTTTAGGATAAATTTTCAAAAAAGAATCCAAAATTTTCAGATTCCCCAATTCATAATTCTTATTTGTAAACCAATCAACTTCTGATTCATTTGAATTCATATCTCTTCTATCAATAGTTCCAGTTAATCCATGAATCTCAACATTTTCAATCATACCTTTTATATGATAATATTTTTTAAATGATAAAGTCAATTTAATATGATCAGCTTTTAAATCTAATTTTAAACCTTTATCATCAACTGTGGTGATTTTCACTTTTTTAAAATCAATCATACCATCTTTCCATTCAGGAACAACAGCATCCTCAAATTTAATGTCAAAACTTGGATTTAACCAAGATATAAACTTCCCAGTTAATTTACCAACTAGTTCTTTAGCAAATAATGAATTCAATCCATAAAATAATAATGAAAAAAAAGTTGTAGTACCTAAAATTACCCATATTATATGACTCAATATAAACCAAGAGAAAAAAGCACTAATTTCATCAATGTTAAAAGGGCGATAACCTTTAATCAAAAACCATTTGGATCTAATGGCGAATCTTTCCCAAGGATTATTAGCCTGGGATAGCAATGTTTCTTTAGTTATAGTGGTTGCAACCTTACCGCCAGCAATAGTACTACCGACAGCAACATTATGTTGATTGATGGTGGCTGGTAATTTTGGAGCTTCATAGTTTGTTAGAGCTTTAGAATCCCTCCATATTGGGTTTATTGAATGGATTTGGCGATACCGTATTAATGATTTTGATGGGTTGCTGACGATAGTGTTCAAGTTGTGGTGTAGTAGCGAATGATCACGATGCTGGTGAAGGTTCCAAGGGTTTCTTGCTGCCACCACCTTGAACAGAGGTGAAAACAGGCTCCTTGAACTGAGACTCAGACGAGATATGGGTTGGAATGGGTTGATCAGTGGCATGTCAGTTCAAAAGGCCATAACTTATGTTTTTTTGAGGTTTAATAAAGCTTCTCACGTACTTGTGGAGGTGTGGTGAAAATTCTCGGGATATGGCAAGCACTTAGGTTATGGGGATGAAAGCAAGCTATAGCAACTGGTTTGGAAATATGATCTATCTTTTACAATAGTATATTCTTGACTTTCTCAACTCTTTTGTATCTTTTTCTCTCTTTAGCTCTTGATCCTTTGCTGCTTTCCAATTAAAATGACGTTCCAATCAAATTTCCTTTTTATAAGCACAAGATCAAACGAAAAAAAAGTGTCAGAAAATTAAAATTCGCGAATTCACTTTTTTTTTTTTTTTTGGCAGAGGGTAAAATTCGCGACTCATCTCTTTAAAAAAAAAAATTTTTGTATAATAAACATAAAGAAACTTATCTATTTAAAAGAGTTAATTATCCATTTCATACCACGATGGCTGCTCCTACTGCTTTGAAGAAGACATCTCCTGTATCTCAAAACCAAGAACCAGCTGAAAGTAGCAGCATACAGGTTCCACCACCAACTCAACAAGATGAAGAAGATGAAGTTCTTATAGATGCTTCAGGTAATATTGAAGATACAGAACAACAACAAGAAGATTCCACAAAGAAACAATTAGAGACAAAAGGAGTGGTACTTGATGCTGAAGGTAAACCACGTTTCAGTTCTGCTGCTAAGTCAGGTGAACACGTCAAGATTGAATCAAGAAAAGTTCCAGTCCCACCTCATAGAATGTCACCATTGAAAAATGCATGGCCAAAAATTTATCCTCCATTAGTTGATCATTTAAAATTACAAGTTAGAATGAATTTGAAAACAAAGACTGTTGAATTAAGAACATATAAAAACACTACGGATCCTGGTGCTTTACAAAAAGGTGCTGATTTCATTAAGGCATTTACATTAGGTTTTGATCTTGATGATGCAATTGCCCTATTAAGATTAGATGATTTATATATTGAAACTTTTGAAATTAAAGATGTTAAAACTTTACAAGGGGATCATTTATCAAGAGCTATTGGTCGTATTGCAGGTAAAGATGGTAAAACTAAGTTTGCTATTGAAAATGCAACAAGAACAAGAATTGTTTTAGCTGATTCCAAAATCCATATTCTTGGAGGTTTTACACATATTAGAATTGCAAGAGAAGCCGTTGTTTCATTGATTCTTGGTTCTCCACCTGGTAAAGTTTATGGTAATTTACGTACTGTTGCATCAAGAATGAAAGAACGTTATTAAATGTTTTGAGTCATGTGTGTTTTTAGGTATTAATATGGGTATTTTTCTTTAATGTACATTAGTCATTTGGTTGTATAACTACATGTAGTATATAGCTAATTTAATTGTGATAATTCTTTTTTTTTCTATAAGTTAAACAAAGATCATAAATTTTTTTCATCAAATAAAGAAACTTGTTGGAAAGACATCATAAGTCATAGGGAAATCAATAAAATAGGAAAGAGTAACTGCGTCAAGCTAATTACTCTGAAAAATTCTATTTGACTCTTTTTGTTTCATTGGGAATATAATAAAAAAGGCAAGGGATCATGAAATTTATAACAAGTTTCTTTCTTTGAATTGTCTCAATAAACCAGCACCTAATCTAGCTGGAGAAGCTTCAACACCAACACCAGCGGATTCTAAGGCTTTGATTTTATCTTGAGCACCACCTTTACCACCTGCAACAATGGCACCGGCATGACCCATTCTTCTACCTGGTGGTGAAGAAACACCAGCAATGAATGAAACAACAGGTTTTGGAACATCTCTTGTTAAATTGTATTGTTTTAAGAATTCAGCAGCATCTTCTTCAGCGGAACCACCAATTTCACCAATCATGATAATACCTTCAGTTTCTTCATCTTTTAAGAATAAACTTAAAGCATCAATGAAATTAGTACCTGGGAATGGATCACCACCAATACCAATAACCAAAGATTGACCTAATCCAGCTTTTGTGGTTTGATCAACAGCTTCATATGTTAAAGTACCAGATCTTGAAACAATACCAATTTTACCTCTTTTATGAATGTTTGAAGGCATGATACCAATTTTACATTGTTCTGGAGCAATAATACCAGGACAATTTGGACCAACTAATCTTGTTTTATTTTGAGTTTTCAAAATGTTTGCAATTCTCAACATATCATGTTGTGGAATACCTTCAGTAATTGCAACAGCTAGGGCAATTTCAGCTTCAATAGCTTCTTCAATAGCTTTGGCGGCAATTGATGGAGGAACGAAAATACCAGTAGCAGTGGCACCGGTTTGTTCAACCGCTTCTCTAACTGATGCAAAGACTGGTTTACCCAAATGTAAAGAACCAGCTTTTTTTGGATTAGTACCACCAACAACTTGAGTACCATAATCTAAAGCTTGTTGAGCATGGAAAGTTGCTTGTTTACCAGTAAAACCTTGATAGATAACTTTTGTATCACTGTTGATTTTCAAGTTTTTAATAGTATCAGCATAACTTCTTTTAATTGTTGAAGTTGAGAATCTTCTTGCTTGATTCAAGAAAATTTTTGATGATGATGATGAAGACATGATGTATAAAATTATCCCTTATAATCTAACTTCTATATTATTATTTTGACTAAAGATCAAAGAAATGAACCTTTTATCTGTACTGTATGTGCCAGGACGTTAGAGGTTAATTGATTGGACCGTTAAGGTGAAAATTTGATATGTTTTTATAAAAGAGACGAGAAACGGATTAGGGGTTTATTTAATACCTTTTCCAAGGTGAAGTCAACGCAACACAACAAGTTTTTTTATAGGGAAAGAAAAAAAAAAAAAAAGTTCAGGTTTCACGGGTGGGCACTGGGCGGACGCGTTCTGTCATAAAAAATGGGCCTAGGCAGAAGGAATAAACGGGGGCGGTTCTCGAATCTCAGCCTGGGGGCCTGGGGGTTAGACGGGTGTCTGCCTAGAGGCCAGCAGAGCTTCAGGAGGGAAGGGGGGAGTCCGGGAGAACGAAAGCGAGCGTTGGATTGGGCTCCCCGGACAGCTGTAGGCGAGGGAAATCCAGGAAGGGAATGGGAGCTAGGCAGGGGGAGCTAGACAGGAAGGGAAAGAGGACATTGGGCTTAGGAGAAGTATTTTAATTGGCTATTTGTAACAGATTCAAACCCACTTTGTCAGTCCATGTAATCTGTTCTGAACTGAAGAGCTAATTGAGCCCATGGACATGTTCGGATCTTTGCGTGGATGTACCGATCCACGGCTGCTGTTGAAAACAGTTGAACTCGATCTTTTCCCGAAGAGAGAAACTAATTATTGACTGGATCATCATCGAGGGTATAGGCTGAAGGTATATTTCCTGGTTAGACTGGGTGGACAGGCTCACTATTAAAGGGGTCAATCAATGCTACCATTGGCACTCGCTTTTAAGAACGCTGGCTCCCTGTCTTTTCAAGCTAGCCTTCTATGAAAGGTTTCAAATATAACCTCGAATCCAGTTTGAAAAGTGCCAATTATCAGTCCTCAACACTTGTAGTTCCACCACCCCCATGCCCATAGAAACAAGGACAGGATGATTCATTTCTACGCTAGTAACCCCATCACATCACTTATTCACATCTACATTTTGATTTAAAAGACTACGCTTTTCCATCCTGGACATCAAGAAAGTGGTTGAAAAGTTGCCTATGAGTGCTCTAACCAGGCGTTTTGATGGACTTTTAACTAGGGTGGAAAAAACACACTACAAACCACTTTTTATAGCTCAACCAAGGTAATCCAGAAAGATGTCTGAAGAGTTTGGTAAAGATGATAATGAAGTTCAAATAAATGATAATTCCATAGTTGAGACCTGGACAGAAATCATGGATGGCTATAGAAAGATCCATGCTAAGAAAGATAGTGAAGAAATTGAATTGGAGTCAATTTCACAAGAACCCGAGGAAAAAAGTAGAAGTGAAGATGTTGAAATAAAAGACACCAAAAGTTGATGTTAAGTAAATCAATTGAGATGTTAAGGTGACCCAAGGAAACAGCTGTGTCGGTGAAGTGCAATCTCATGTCGTATAGACTTCCTTTCTTTCACTGACATGTATTCATGACTATAAGAACCCAAAAAAAGCTGTCAGAACAGTTTGATTACAGGTATCAGGTATCCAAGATTCAGCCTAGACCATCGAACTAAAAACTTGAAATCGAACTCATTTCCAACTGCTTTAAACCAATTTGTAGCTACAATAATTTTGTATGTTCACCTTTTTTGAACATTACACGACTTCACGAACTTTTTGCCAAAAATCCTTTGAAAAACAAAAAACGTCAAAGTTGTTGATCTCGAAGGCAATTTGAACAGGGCGCTTGCAATCATCAACGGACATTTAATTCAAACAAGCAATTGCATTCATACTCAAGCCTTCAAAAATGTCGGAAACTCCTCAACCTTTATCACCAACTGCTGATGCTGAAACTCCATTAACAGGCTCACCAGCTCCAACTTCTGAAAACCCAAAAAAGAAAAACTCACAAGCTGGTAAGAAGGTCAGTGCAGAGATCTTGGAAAGAAGAAGAGTTGGTAGATTAAAAGCTGCTGAAACAATGGCTAGAAAGATTAAAAAATCTGGTATTGAAAAAAGAGAAAATGCTTTAAAATTTTCAACTTTTGAAAGTGGGAATTTAATTAACCAAAAGAATTATTTCACTGATTATTTGAAAAAAGATGATCAAATTTTCATATTACGTGAAAGGAAACAAATAAGATTGAATAAAGTTCAAATGAAGCAAGGTAAATCAGTTAAAGATCAAGACACTCCGATCCCTGGTGCAACAACTCCGATCCCTGGTAATGCTGATGAAGATGATGAAATGGATGATGATGAAGCCGAGGAAATTGATGAAAGAGTCGGATCTAAAACAATCGTGATACATCCTGGTTCAAGAAATATAAGAATTGGGTTAGGTTCAGATGTTTATCCTCAAACTTTCCCATTTGTGTTAGCTATTCCAAAAGATGATGAATTTAACAAGCAAAATAATTATGAATTAGATGAAGAACAACAATCAATAATAGAGGATAATAGAAAACTATTACAAAGAGATTTCAAAGAAAGAATGAGATATTATAAAAGAAGAATATTACCAAATTCAAATGAAATTGTTACAAATTTTAATAAAAAAGTTACACCAGAGACAATACCTGAACATAATGACATTCATAAAACTGAGTATTTCAAACCAACTGCAAATGATAGATGTTTTATAGCTGATGAAGCACTAAGACTTGATTCTACAGATTTCAAGTTAAGATACCCATTATTAACAAATGGAAGATTTAATGAAGATGAATATAGATCCTTTGCAGAAACTCTTGGTGATATTCAATTATTCATTAGTAAAACATTGGAAAAAAAATTTCAAGTTACAAAACTGAAACAGTATAAAGCTGTTTTGGTGATACCTGATCTTTATGATAAAGTTTATGTGGAAAACTTTATTGAATTATTACTTCAAATGAGTTTCCAAGGTGTTGCTGTTATACAAGAAAGTTTAGCATCTACTTATGGTGCAGGTGTTAGTTCAGCTTGTGTCATTGATATTGGAGCTAAAACTACTAAAGTTTCATGTATTGATGAAGGTATGATTATTCCAAATAGTCGTGCCAATTTAAGTTATGGTGGTGATGATATAACAAGATTATTTTATAAATTATTGAAAGAATCAAATTTCCCAATTGATTATGATGTTAATAATGATTTTGATTGGCCTGCTTTAAATCAATTGAAGGAGAAATTTATTACATTTCAAGATGCAAATGTTACTGTTCAATTATACAATTTTATAAAAAGATATCCTTCAAAATTATCAGAAAAATATGAATTCAAAGTTTTTGATGAAGTTATGCTTGCGCCAATGGGATTGTTTTTCCCAAAAGTTTTCGAAAAAGTTAAAGATTTTGAATCAACTCCATTCACTAATAGAAAATCATTAGATGTTTATAATGGACAATCAAATAATCCAACTTCAACAACTCAAAAAAATTGTTTCGAAAATAATTCATATGCAGATAAAATTGATTTTGAGGTTTTAAAGGACTTGTTAAATCCTGATACGTTAGAAGATGCTAAAGAAGATGAAGTGCCAACCATTGCAGCATTAGACAAAGTTATTATTCAAAGTATTGCAAATGCTTCAAGATATGATTTTTCAAAAGCTAAAACTTTCTATGAAAATTTATTAATTGTTGGTGGTGGTGCCAAGATTGAAGCTTTAGATTTCATATTAACAGATCGTATAAATATTTGGAGACCAAAAATTTTAGCATTATTGAACTTGCCAGATTTTTTGAAAAAAATTGAAACATTAAGTACAAATTTTGAAAAAGAACATGAATTTTCAAAAATTCAATCTGAAGAAGAAATTCAAACTTTACAAATTGAATTATTTAAAATTATTGAAACTGAATTGAATGAATTTTTGGAAAGTGTTAATAATCCATTAAACCCAGTTGAGGTCTTGCCAGCACCAAGAGATATTGATCCATCAATTTTAACATGGAAAGGTGCTTCTGTTTTCTCAAGATTAAAGTTGATTGAAGAATTATGGATAACTGAAGCTGACTGGGATTTATTAAGTAGCAGAACTTTGCAATATAAAGCTTTGTTCAACTACTAGTGGACCTGGAAACTGATGAGAACTTGAGTACATAATGAACAATTATGATGATGATTATATTCAACTGTAATGTAGGATAAATAGGACAAATGAAAAGCCTGTGTTTTCTTAACTTGATGTAATAAATAGATATAAAATGTGCAGGATAAGTAGTGCCCTAATCGATTTAGGTACGTCCGGGTAACAAAAAAGTAATCGACCCCGGACAGGATCGAACTGTCGATCTTGTGATTAACAGTCACACGCCTTAACCAGCTTGGCCACGGAGTCTTTTACGAAAGCTGTAAGTCTGTTGAAACTTCAGTATCTTTAGCTTGCGCTTGAAAAAATCAGCAATTTTGACGTAAACATGACCAAATAATGTAACAATAACATATCTCATAGTCTCTTTGTCTTTTATGCAAAATTTTAATTAATTTCAGCAGTTTTTGGCTGAAATATATGCGAAAGCGGTATTCCGAACTTCGAATATTATAAATATTTTGATGATCAACTACAACCGGCAGTACAGCTGTTGAACATATTGAACACATGAAAACACTACCTGACCACCAGCTAATTATTACATATTTATATAACAATGATCCTGATGTCGACAGTTATAGTTAGCCGGCCCCAATTATTATTATTTTTTTTTTTTTTTAATTAAAGACCAAAAATGACATATTGCTGTCCATTTTTTCTATATATTGAACATTTTCCTATTGAATTTTTATATTGTTTATACGTGTTTAGAAATTAACATTATTCTTATTGTGAATTTGAATTATAAACTCCAGTCAAAACGACAATTTGGTGCTTTCCACTCAGAGAATTTGAATTGAACTGATCGTGTTAATCAACTATTACTATTACATCAACTACTACAACTATCTATTATTTTAACTATGTCTGAATTGAACTTGAAAGAAGCTAGAAAATTAACAGTTGAGTTAATCAAATCCCAACCTGGTCCGTACTTTAAGTCATTGATCTTTTATTTCAAATCTCATGATTTGAGTAATGTTGCAAAATTTATTTCGAATCCATCTGCTGAATCAACTATTAAATTGGATGATGAAACCAATAATTTTATTCAAAACTTATTATTGTTAACTGCTGGTGATTATAAAGTCTATCTGGATGAAGATGATGCAATCATCAGTTTGAAAAACTTAATGAAAAAAACTAATTATGTTATTGATCCTGATCAATTCTGGAAAAGATCCAGAGGTATGCTTAAATATGCTGGTGAATATCATGTTGATGATTATATTTTGAAAGTGGAAACTGTTAGATCTTGGGCCAGAAGAAGTTCCGAATTAGGAATTACTGATGGTGCATTGAAATCATATGTTATTTCATCATTGAATGGTAAATTGAATACATTGAAGGATATTTTGTCAATTTCCAAGGAAAAATCTTTAGATGAAGTTTTGGAAATCATTAAAGACTATTGGTATGCTAACAGAGGCAGATTGACTGATCAAGCAAGAAACAACAACGATCATTCAAGAAACAACAACAACAACTTTGGCAAATCAAACTCCAATACTTATGGTCAAGGAAATACAAATGCTGGTAATAAACCAAATTTCACTAAATCAATTGGTAACATTGTTTTTGAATCAGATGAATTAGCGAGTTCTCCCTCAACAGGATCTTCAAACGCGAGTTCTCTCTCAGATAGAAACTATTTGTGATTCGGGAGCCAATGCTCACTTATTCCACATCAATTTTCCATTACTGTACAATATTGAAACCTTTGCTAATGATACATCTGAATCTGCTGTTGGTGTGAATGGTCAAGAAATCCACATTAAAGGGATTGCAAAATTAGATTTGAAATTCGGTGATTACCTAATCACAATTGATGTTTTGGTCACAGAAAATTTGAATTACAATTATCTTTCCACCAATAAACTCAACATTTATCAGATCTTTTATGAAGAATGCAGCTCAGGTCTATTTCTAAATCATCAAGACAAGAAGTATCCATTGCTCAAGAATAATGACAACTTCTCAGTTGTTCCACATCATCATTTTGTTAAACCTCAAGTGACTACCAGTATAAACTCTATTCATCAAAAGTTGTTACATCCAAATAATGAGTACTTGAAGAAGATGATCAAAGATCAATTGATTAATACTTCAGAAACTGCAACAACTGATCAATGTACAACCTGTTTACAAGCCAAAACTACTTCAGCACCAGCTAGAGCAAATTCAAGAAATATTCATCGGGTAAAATCACCTTTCCATCAAGTTCATACAGATATCTTAACTATTACATCACACAATAACTACAAATCTTATGTGTTGACTTTTTATGATGATTTTACAAAATTGTTGAAGCTATATCACTTACATTCAAAAAATCAAGAGGTGATCTATGAATGTTTTCAAGATTACATTACGTTCACTACAAATCAGTTCAAAACCAATATAAAGATGTTTACAAGTGATAATGGCTCAGAATATATTAACAAGTCAGTTAAAAGTCTGATCAAAGATCGTGGAATTGATTGGATGTACACTTCTTCTTACTCACCAAATCAAAACGGATCTGCAGAACGGATAAATTACAGCATTATCAATAAGCTAAAATCAGCACTTATTGATTCACCTGATGTCAGAGTTGGTACAAAATACATTAAATTCTGCTTACCATACATTTTGAAATACATTGAAATCATTTTGAACATCAGCTATCATAGTGCATTGAAAACTTCACCATATAATTTCATCACTACCAAGTTATCTACAGATCAGTATAGTGCTGAGATTGGTTGTTACAAAAGTATAAATTTTGACAAGATTCCTGTTATTGGTCAAACTTGTTATATCACAAACAAGACAAATACCATCAAGACAAATTCAAGAACTGTATCAGGTATATTTATTGGTCTGGATAAAAATTTAAAGATTTTTTATGTTCCAGATGAAAACAAAATCATCAAAACCAGAAATTTCTCATTCAAAAAGATTCCAGATATTCATTTTAGCATATCATCTGATGAATCTCAAACTGAATCTGATGATGAACAAGAAGATAATGATGCTTCAGAAGATGAGGAAGATATTGGTCAACATGATTCAAATGATAATAATCATGATGGAGATATTGACATGGACGATGCTTACAGTGAAAATGAACAAGATACTGAAGATCAAAATCTTGAAGATCCAACTTGGACACCTGAATCAGAAGATGAATTTGAACAACATGAAGAAGAAGAAGATGATTTACATGATGATGAATCGAACATTGAACCTGATGAAAATGAGATTGTTGAAGAACCACAAGAAGATGTAAATAATGTTGAACCAAAAGTTACTACTATGGATAATCCAGATATTGATAATAGAACACCAGAAGTTGTGAATGATGAATCAGTTGAAGAACCAATTGTCAATGATGAAATACCAGTTGTTAATGAAGAAACAGAAGATAATACTGTTGAAGAAGAAGTTGTTGAACCAGAAGTTGTTGCTGATACTATTGAAGAAACTGTTGAAGAATCTATTGAAGAACCTGTTAAAGCTCCAGATGTTGTTGAAGAAATTATTGAAGAACCAGAAGTTGTTATTGATAAGACTGTTGAAGAACCAGAAACTGTGATTGATAAACAAGAAGGCCTTGAGGCTACTGATGAAACTGCTACTGTTGATCCAAATTCTGATATAGTTGGTGAACCAGATGACCCTCCAGTTGATAAAACAAATGATGATTCATCCACACCATTGGTTATAGTTAATGATACGATAGAAGGGAAAGAAGAAAATTTCGCACATGAAATGTTTGACTCACCAAATGATGATAAGATGTCTTCAAGCCATAATGTTAAGATGAAACCTTCAAAAGTTGTGAGAGTTGGTCCAGATACTCAACCAACACCTGTGATCCCATCTAAACGGAAACTAATATCATCTGAAGCCCAAAGAAACATTTCTGATTATATAAAAGATAGATCATCCAAAATTAAACGAATTGGATCAGTCAACATATGCTCTATCAAAGAATTGAATGATAAGGTTGAAAGGAATCATTGGTTATTAGCAATTTTAAAAGAGTTGGAAACTCTTATTAACCAGGGAACTTTTGAAGAGGTGATCATTAGGAAAAATCAATTGTCCAACTATAATATTGTTCCAACATTATGGTTGTTAAACAAAAAATTTGATCATACCAACAATCAAATTTTTAAAGGCCGTCTAGTTGCTAGAGGAGATTTACAAGAGTATGAAGGTGAAACTTATTCTTACACTTTGGAAAATCAAATTTTGTTGTCATTATTAGCAATTGCTACCAAAACTAATCAACAAATCACTCAACTTGATATCAAAAGTGCTTATGTTTCTGCTGACATTGATCAAGAACTTTACATCAAACCACCGCCTTTTTACAAAAAATTTCAACAACAAAAAGTACCAGATGATGATCATATGTTGATATTAAGATTACGGAAGAGCCTCTATGGATTGCGTCAAAGTGGAAGACAATTCTACTTTCATTTAAGAGACATTTTGCTTAAAATTGGTTTTACAAACAATGATGCATATCCTTGTGTTTACAAAATGGATTATCAAGATCAACGTTGTTACTTAGCAAATTTCGTTGATGATTTGTTACTTATTGGTCCAACAAAATTTAAGAACTTCATTCTCAAAAAGCTGAGTGATCAAAATCTAGATGTTAAGCACTTAATGCCCACAACAGAATCAGTTGATGATAAAACCATATTGAAAAGAAAAATAGTTGGTGTTGAACTAGAAGAACTATATGAAGACAACATTAGAAAATCCTTGAAAGTTCATCAAAAAACTTATTTGGAAAAGATTGTGAACAAGTTTCTCAAAATCAATGATTCTACAAAGGCAACCCCTCCACCATATTATATTGATGCTTCATATACAGAAGGTGCTGATCATGAACAAAGAGTAAAGAAAGCTCAAGAAATTATAGGTTCACTTTTATATTTAGGTTGTCATACTAGACCAGATGTGATTTTTCATATTCATTATATTTCTCAATTCCAGAAACAACCCTCAGATCAAGTTTTTTATTTTCTTGATAGATTACTGAGATATTTAAATGGTACAAAAGAATATGGATTGAATTATTATCATTCTACAGATACAGAAATTGATGAAAATAGATTACAAATTTATACTGATGCTTCATTTGCTGCTGCTGCTGATAACTTTAAGTCTTCCAGTGGTACTATTGCTTACTTTGCCGGTGGACCTATTGGGTGGAATACCGAAGTTTTATCATTCAATGTATTATCACCTGCTGAAGCTGAAGTTGTTGCTATTACTGATTCCGTTAAATTTGATCTATGGCTAAGAAGATTATTTGATTTTTTATTGGAACCAAAAGTATTAAATAAATCAATTCATTACTCAGATTCATCTGCTGGTATTGCTATGATAAATAAGGATTATTACAACAAGAAAAATCGTCACTTCAATATCAGATTGGCTTTTGCTAGAGATAAGTTCAAAAGAGGTTTTTATGATTTGAAATTTATTGCTACAGACAAACAAGTTGCTGATCTATTAACAAAACCTACAGATGGTGTTCAATTTTTAAGATTGGTAAATTCACTGGTCCATTAAGTTGATACTAGACTCACAGATTCATTTTATTTTTATTTTTTATTTCATTTTTTATTTCATTCTTAAAAAACAAGTGGCATGTCGTGATGTATATCACGATGTGAATTTTTACTATCAATTATTTCTATTGGATAATTTCAGATTGATGTTGTTATTTTTCCAGATTTTGTTACAGCTGTTTCCATTAATGGAAACATCATTTTAGTTTTCATGCAGAATTGGTTTCTATAATTTTCCATAGACCAAAAATGACATGCTGTCCATTTTTTCTATATATTGAACATTTTCCTATTGAATTTTTATATTGTTTATACGTGTTTAGAAATTAACATTATTCTTATTGTGAATTTGAATTATAAACTCCAGTCAAAACGACAATTCCGAATCATTTAACATCAAAAAAACACTCTATTACTGCTTTAAATGGTCAAAAAAGGGAAAAAATGACGCCTAAAAAAATTTTTTTTTTA